ACCAGGACCGTCAACTAGAATACTGCAGATTTGTACGGATGGACGGCTTAGGTGAGTGAGAATAAATTATATATGGTATTGTCTATTTATCTTTTGTTAAATTTATTTCAAACAATGGTCAAATACATATGTTTGTAGCGAGCAAAAATCGATACTCGTCCCGGGTTATCGAAGTAAGGCGAAGTTTTTCGCTACACCACCGTTTGTCGCTACATCTTATTAAAAACAATGAATATATTAATATTATATATGTATAATTGTATATGTTTTTTAAGAAAAAGCTTTATTTGACAACTACTAGACTGAAAACCAGTAGATCTTATTATACAAATTAGTTAAAAAGATATTTTTAACATTATCTCCATATTTGCTGTCCGAAGAAGGAGGACTTCTTATATAGACTAGTATCGTTTAATTAATTATCTGCCGATGTTTTCTCGAGAGACTACGGCATGAGATTTTTCAAGAATGGTATATTAAGGGTCAGCAAGGTGTACGCGACACCCCTTATTTTTCAGGCATTCTTAAACTACGGTAACCGTTTACCATCAGATGAACTTACTATGGTATACTTGTTAGCTATCCCAGTTTAAAAAAAAGCGATCTTCCATCCTATTTTTTTGCTATTACAAATGTTTATAATAAAAACTTCTATTTCAGGGTTTACATGTGCCACGTTACCAGATTCTCGCTATCAAAATTATGACAATCTTGAACAAGGTCGCTGCGTTCTCCGCATCAAAGAACCAACAATCCTTGAAAATCATCCGTGGACGCTGACGGTCAGGATTGTTGGTCAAGAAAGCGAGATATCTCGAGTCACCAATCACACTATTACTATGCCAGTTGAACCTGAAACGACGCTGTCGCCTCTGCCAACTACTCAACCTACAGATTCATCATGTAAGATACAGTTAACATTGTAACTCATATTTCGATTTTAAATTATGTTTAACACCTCGACTTACATATGCTTCCGTAGATAAACATAGCTAACAAGTATATAAAAAATGTCGCAGAGACTATGGTAGATTCTTGCTCTGCCACGTTGAATTTCAAATATTTTCCACGAAATGTGGGCATGTCAAGTGTTACGTCCGCAAATTGACAATGCCTCTGACTACCCCATCCGTGATAACAGTCGTTTATATAGTGTATTTCACAAATTATTATTTTAATCCAATCTTGTGTTTTAGCATCTACTACTGAATCAACTCCATACCATCCAACAACGCCATTGCCTATCCCAGAGGCAGCAGAACCGAGCTATATATCTATGTGGATTTCTTTAACTATAATCACAATTCTATTTATTATATTGGGCTCCATGTTTATACCTAAAAATAATAGAGAGAGCGTGTTTGCTAGAATTACGGTATTTAGAAACAGTATTCGGAGAAGTCTTCAGAAAAAGCCGTTACCTGACTTACCCAATGCAGGAACTGAAAATACTGTATCTTCCCCATAATCTTACTATACCATAAACATAAGATGTCTTTTCAAGATTCAGTAGAGGACAGACGTTCTCGAGGTCGATTACGCAATTGGCTTAACTTATCAAATTGGCCACACAGCATTGAGAACAAAACCAATACAAGATGGAGACAAATTCCAAAGATTTCAATCGAACAAGCAGGACCTCATAGACAATCCACCAATAATATAAATACCACGACCACTGCCAAGAGACTACGACATAAAAAGAAGAACATATATTTAATTATAAAGTTGTTCAGATATGGTATCAAGTAGGTAATAATAGGTTAAAAGAAAGTCAGCTAAGGTTGTGGATTGGATGACTCAGACGCTGCAAACATTTATAAAATTATTGTATTCATGAGTAGGTACGAATGTTTGTATTGCTCTGAGTGTTTTTTATGTATAATATGAAGTATTTAAAAAAAAAATCTAATATTTTCTTTCAGTTAGTATCGTAGTGTAGTACCTCAGATGGCGCTGTGTGAATTGGGTAGGGTATTATTAAGTATTGATTTATTATTTATAAAATGATTGTTTACTATTGATTATGTAATATTATTTTATCTGTACTACTGATGTAATGGAACTAATGTTATAATAAATATTAAAATGTATATTCTTAAAAAAAAATTGTTTTTATTATTTTCATGTCCTAGTGATTTACTACCCTCACATACACCCAAATGTAGCCTACAATAACACAAAAAACCAATATATTTCTGACTGCCTGGTGGGAAACGACATTAATTAATCTAAGGAAATTGTTCTTATAAAAACTATGATTAGCAATTATTGCATTGTTTGATCATACTTCTTAGGTCTATAATAACCGGGGTGGAATGCATTTGCTGCGGCATAGGCACTTGTAGGTACACCGTGTGGTTTTTACTGAATAAAAATCCCACCCACCAACCCGTCATCCCTTGAGCGGGATGACGGGCTTTTGAAGATTTTCCACACGTTAAAAAAAAGGTATATAAATAACATGTAGGTAACATACATAAATTAATCTGACTTCTAGAATTTACGTACTTATAGCTTGCACACACTTTTAGTACTACTATAAAACTGGAAATCATTTAGGACATTTCAGACGTTTGTATATGTCAGTTATTTACTTTTCGAATTTTACGGATCAGTTTTCAATAGTATAGGAAAAAAATTATTTAATTAATTTATTAACACATTGGTGTGGATATGTGCTAATAAATTACAACATTATTACACAAACCAGTGATGTAGGTGGTAAGTATCATTGGGCGGAGCAGCCAAATATCATAAATAAATTATTATGATGTATATCAGCGCACTAATCTACTAAATGAATAATATTATAATGATTTAGGTCCGATCTAATTAAAATAAGTCAGCTATTGATTAAATCAATTCATATTCAAATATATTTATTAATTATCAATATCTTTATTACTAAGATGATATTTAGGGTAGCTAAAATTTACCGTCATTTTAATGCAATGTAAGTCTTACGTTTGAAAATCCTAGAGTAACTGACAAGAAACACATCTTCAACTATTTTCAAATGATATTATATATAGTTGAAATAATACAGATTAATACTTAAATCTAGGATGAATACAGTAACCAATGGTGTAAATTAAGCTCATCAGATGGTAAATGGTTACCGTAGTCTATAGACGCCTGAGGTACCAGAGGTACGTGCGCGTTGCCGATCCTTAAGGAACCTTAATATAATATATACCCTTCTTGAAAAACCCCATACTGTAGTCTCGTGAGAAAACCTCGACAGGTAGATCATTCCACAATCTAAGTGTACGCGGGAAGAAGCTCCTCTGAAACCGCACTGTCCTGACCACCTTAGGTTCTAGCGTGTGGGGGTGAATTCCCTGTAGATGGAGAGCGGTGCGATGGTAAAATGTAGCCGTAGTAATATTACTACATTTAAGTCAGTAAACAAAACAGTATTTATCAACAGCTACATCCTAATATGCTTAAATTATACATGCATATTTAAATAAATGCTAAATACTATTTTTATACTAATATTTTATACTATGTACGGGAATTTAATGAACTTACGATGTTTTCGCCTTTCGCTACAACTGTTTTGATTTCATCCGGAAATCATCTGGGTAAGTTCGTTACCAGTTCACCAAATATTTAAATACTATGATTTCTTGTAGCAATATTTCTTGTTATGTTTGTCTGCGATAACATGTATTATACTGATCTAAATATATTAATTGTAAACATTAGAGATGTTGTAACATTACTTTGATGTCTGTACCTTATCTTCGTCTTTTACCTTAGGTGTGATAACACCTACATACGTATATACCCTATTACATTATATCCTATTACAAAGGTTTTTTTAATCTACATTGATTTTGGAGTTTCTATCACTAAACATGTCCATCCATTATATGTAATCGAATTTTCGTTTTTTATAAATTATCCATCAATACTTTCTTGATGAATGACAGGATCGGATTCTAAGTACTAACTTTATTTTATATTAGCTGAGTCCGTGATTTCATCGGCGTTAAATTTCAATATTAAATATAGCCTATGTATTATTCTGATGCATAAGCTATATAACTGTAAAGTTTCATCAAAATTCGTTCAGTAGTTTTTGCGTGAAAGAGTAACAAACACTCATACTTATAAACTTTCGCATTTATAATATTAATAATAATAATTAATAAGATCTATTCAGTTTTGTACTGTACATAAACCAGGGAATCAAAATAGACTGGATTATTATGTACCAAATTTTTCGTTTTAGAAACGCCCAAGAAAGTATTCTTTCATTGTAGCTGGCATATTAGGTAACACTTCTGAATAACAAGGACTAATATTGTTTGTAATCTAATGTATTGTTGTTTACTACATAAAGCAGATTTAGCTAGGTTACTTCTACTTAATTCCCCTTTATAACAACATGTATGAACCTATTGCAATTTTACTGAATTGTCACCCAAACAAAACTTCATCTGAGTAGTTATGGTAAAGGTTATCAAAACACGTCTGCAACTAGATGCGCAATGAACCTAATCTTGAATTGCACTTACTATCAGACCAGATCACTACTTTGTCCCAATTCAAACCTGCAGCGTATTTTAATGTTGTATTGTTCAATCCAATCAAGTCCGACTTGTCTGCTTCTTATATTTTCTTAACCGTTTCTTTCATAAAGGATCGTAGTTTTATATACCTCATAAATTATATTAAAAACAAACTCTACATTGGGCCATTTACTTAATTTTTTTTTAATATTATTTTTGTAATTGTTATTTAAATTAAGTGATTATTAATTTTTTGACGATATCATGTCCATACCACTTCAGCACGCGTCGTTATTGAAACTGTATCTTATTTTTTGTAATAATAAAGTTATTCAGTAGTCAAAATCGGAAGATAAGATAATATAAAGTAGAGATATGAGAGATCACGTAGAGATTATTTACAGGGCTATATAGTTCAGATTGTTTATATGCTTCTCATTAGAATTGTAATCGGCAAGTAAGGCGGGAGTTGTCAGGATGAAGACTTGGAGGTTATTTGCTTGCGCGTTCCTACTGGCAGGTAATATTTTTCATATAATTCATATATATACTAAGAATACCATAAACAAGTTGATGCCCAACTCAAGAAAAATAGTGATCGTAGTTTATCTTGCGGCATGTTATCTAAACGAATGTTATGAAAAAGAAAGATTTCATTTCTCGTTTATATTGAATCATCACTTTCTTTTCCTTACTCCGTAATATGTTTTTCTCTTTGTTCGCCTCTATTTGCAATCATTTTACTATTTTTTTATATTTATTTTAGCAGTAAAGTATGAGTAGGATATATTTTATTGATTTTGTGATTTTTACTTTAACTACATAATAACCTACCATCGAAATTAAAGAGATAACGAACATTTTATTTTTATACATATATTTCATTTAACGGAGCATCTTTTCAACCGAAACATTGATGTTGGTCATAATTTTATTAAATATTTTTTGTACTTAGTTTCTTGTAAAATCAATTATAATATAACCATCTGTATAATAAGTTAACAATAGAATTAACATCTCTAGTACATATTAATTAAATCGAATCATTAAAAAAGAATATTTATTCATGTCTATTAGAGACTTTCATGATATATATGTCAAATGTATCGTCAGTTCGGAGTGCATTGTAGCTAAGTAGAACAACAAGAAGACAAGAAATTAATATGAAATACTTTCAGTACTTTATAGTAAAGTGCTTAATTGTTAGATTGGATATACGATTAGTAATGTGCAGTTTCATAGTATATTTATAATCTACTAGCTGACCCGCGCGACTTCGTCTGCATCACACTTATCATTATATATCGTCCAATTTACATAATATAATCTTAAAGTATAGCTTATGTGTTATTCTGATGTATAAGCTACGTTACTGTAAAGTTTCATCAAAACCCGTTCAGTGTTTTTGCGTGAAAGAGTAACAAACATTCATCCATACTCACAAACTTTCGCATTTATAATATTAGTAAGATCTAGCTGTTACCCACAGCTCCATCTGCTTTTTTTGGATAAATGATGTGTCTAGTCTGTACTGTGCTACGATCTGTTTTCATTAATTTCATTGTAACCTTTACGCCGTTTAGATCAGTAAGCGTGATGCAGACGAAGTTAGCTAGTTTATAATATTAATAGGGCTATTTCAACATTTTTTTCAACTAATATCTCATTTCAACAGACCTTAGCTAGATAGTACTTTATTTTGGTTTTCGCACCATAAACAATATTTTTAATTTCGCCGAATTTGTATAATCCATTCATTAATTAATATTACCTTTATGATTATACTTAATTATATGTATGCCACTATTATTAGGTGGTGCACTTGCGGCGGAAATTATAAAAGTGTCTGAAACGGAACGAGTAGTAGAAAATTTAAACAAAGAGTTCTTCAATACCAAAATTGGTGCAGATGTGCGAGTAACTACTATTGCATATGCATTCAATGTAAAAGAAGAATGTTTTCTAAAATTGCCTAATGGAGAACAATACACTATTACTGAAGAACTAAATATACCCGGTGTAAAAATTTTTGATGATCCTGAATATACATGCGGTGTTATTATCAACGTTCAATCCGAAAACTTGGTCGGTGAATGGGAGCTGATTGCTTGGGAGTTAAGACATAGTAGTCCTATAGAAAAAAGGTTACCGTTCACCATATACGTTGAAGGTACGTTGTTACATTTTTCCCCTCCGATTGATACCCCATCAAATTGAATTGAAAATCCTAATTACGACGGCCTGAGCCGAACTTCAAAACCCTAGCGCCCACAGACTAAAGTCGTATCCGTCTGGCGGGAGTTGGTCTCCAGCCGCTTCATAAGCCCTACTGCGGGTTTGGAGTGCAATCTGCGCTCACTCCCTATTGTCCGGTGAAGTTATGAAGGCCAGCTGCGCCCAACAGCATTAGAGTAGTCCGAAAAATAAAATGTTACACTTTTGGAACACTGACTAATTATTTACCTGTATCTTGTCACGTCTGTGATAAAATTATACATGTGTATAGATAATGAACAATTAACAAATTTATATTAGTATTGTATTCATATGTGTGGGATTATCGTTATCGATAATGTCTTTACAGAAATTGTCAATGCAGCACCAAAACAAGTTACGATAACGGAAGGTAGTGATCTCTATTTGCACCTGGAAAGCAACACAGAGCTTCGTGAAACTTGCAAGCTCTTCGGAGCTGACGAAAGTGAAAGTGTCAACTTTGAATTAGATTCCAATTATATTGAGAGCTGTGGATTCATTGTCAAAGGTGTTAAGGCGTCTGACAGTGGTAAATGGGAAATCAGATATGGGAATGGCATTATATATAGAGCATTCACTGAAGTGACTGTAAATGGTAAGTTTCTTTATACTATATTGTTTAAATTCTACTACAAAAATATATTTGATTTTGTCTCTCAACTTTGCATGTAAAGTCTATCTGATAACATTAAAATCTACTGATTCACAAATGCCAGTGCAATTGGTAATTAATAAAAAGATTTTGTCTAGAAAGCCTACTTACTATGGAAATAGAAATAAATTGATGCCGGAATTGTGAAGGTGATTCACGCAAGATTATTACCACATCACTGTATAGTGTAACTGTATGCATAAACAGCTTTGTTAATGTAGCTGGCATGTATAATGGTAAATAACCCGACCTGATGGTAAGCAGTATATAAGACCACAGATATCACGACACAGATGTAACGCATGCCACGAATGTCACATGAAAATTGGGTCAAATGGAAACGTAGGTTACCCTTGATTACTTTTCCAGATGACTAAGATATCCTGCCTCCGTACCCTTTTATTTCAGTGTCTAATCTCTTCAACCTAGACACATATTATAAAGCAAGCTACTTGGTGGCTGGAATAGGAGAGATTACGCATACGACTTTATACTTTTAACACTTTCTTACAATTAATTAATTAATTGTTGATATGACTCGTATTGCAGAAATATGGAATGGACAGCATATGGATCTCGTCTGGGCTAAAGACAGACCAGTGGATATTACTATTGGACCTGAAGATGCAGTTTACTGTAGAATTCAGGATCCCAGTGGTACTGCAGTTTTTGATGGATTCGGTGCATGCAAGATTGTGTTAGGACGAACTCATAGAGAGCACAATGGGGTTTGGAAAATGACCGTGGGCTTACCCGGAAAGGTTTTGACTGAAAACTATGATTTCAAGGTTACAGTAACTGAAGCAGGTATGTAAAATTATATAAACGTATAGTAACCGTTATGCATATACTTAACAGCAGTATTATAATATTCTATTATGGTGTTAACTACTTCCATAAGTTCTGTTACATATGAGTAAGTTGTAATTTATGATTTTATCTATAAATCTAATAAAGAATGTGAATAAGCTGAGCCCACGGCTTCGTACTCGTATTCTTTTCTAGTTTATTTATAAACATATTGCAATAAAAATAAAACTAAGGGAAGCTTACCACAATATATTAGATAAAACTGGACCCAAGTGGGTTAATTTTACTCACAAACGTTTGTTTATTTTTGACAAATAGACAAGAATTCCAAGAACCCTTATTTTAGGGTGCATTATGTCGATAAAGTCCTCAAATAATAGTTTTGAATACGCAAACAGAATGTAACTGATCGTTACAATTTTATTACATGCATATACAAGTTGTATGAAGTGGATGTTTGTTTTTTATGTGCAAAACTATGGTGCTATGCTAACGTAATTCTTTTTACTAAATATGTAATATCTTATGGATACCGCACCTAATCTTCTTTAACTATTAAAATACAAAATATTGTTACACTTTTCCAATCAATGATTATATTTTAAAGATGCTGCCTTCTTTTGAAGTTTTACAAGATAACAAAGAAAAATGTTATAAATCTTGAATTCGATATTGAAATGATGCATTATCCACAAAACAGATAAGACATATTCCGCTATCTAAATGTTTGATTTCTTAAAACATTTGTGTTTAATCAAGTATATACTAATAAAAATAGAGGAAATTAAAAAAATAGCTTGGGCGTCAGAAAATCTGCATAGCTGATAAAAAAGCAATGAGGATATTAAAAAAAATAATTTAAATTAATTTATTAATTTAATTAATATTAATTAAATTAATATATTTTTTTTTAATATCCTCATTGCTAAGGCTTGTCCTACTGTGCCTATTACATATTTATATTCAAGATTCAAGATTCAAGATTCTTTATTTGTAAAACATGCATGATTACATAAGTAGATGATATACATAGTATTTTTTTGTAGGATTATAATAAGACTTTATAATAGAATATTCAGCATTCTGCTATTATATGTATGGAAAGCAAAATACTTAATTGTTCATGATGCTATTCACGTAGCTACCAGATTCTGTATCAAATATACATATTTTAGATATATTGTTACTACTTTTTTTTTAGATACATGTTGTTTAATAACAAATTCCGTCACTAACTTCTTAGTTCCTACAAAATAGTACCATCCTATCTGTACGGAAACATCTAAACAAAATATAGTGCAAAAATAGATATTTGTTATTGAGAGACGTAGTTGAATCCATACTTGTAGTCAGTTTGCATAAATAAAATAAAACTATTCCATTTTATTGTAGCACGGAAACCTACAGTCACTACTCACGTTGAAAAACAACAGCCAGAAGTACTCTTGACATGCTCAGTACCCACTGAATACGAAGTACGTGCTTGCAAGTTCCGCGATCCATCTGGTCGTATGCTGTTGGCTAATGAAGGAGTAGGAGAGAGTCGGTACAGTTTCCACGGAGCAGGTGTTAGGTAAAGTTATCCAATTTATTACCTTTTTTATGAACCTGGAAGGGTAGAAATGTTTATGGCTCACATTATCACAGGGTCGGTAACTCATGACTCACATCTGACACCTCTGGTGTTTCAGACGTCCATAGCCTACGGTAGCCATTTACCATCAGATAGGCCGAATGCGTGTTTGCTACAAACGTAGTATTAAAAAAGTTATAAACACCACTATATAAACAGCACCACAGATATCCCTCATGTGTTCTCATTCCGGAGAACTGTGGTTTGATGTACCCTCTACCTTGTAAGTTCATCATCATATCTCATACTAGAAATCAAAATAGGGCTTACAAAACAAGTCTTGAAATATTGGAGGTGAGATAGAAGTGCCCACGCAGAGAAATATAAACAAATATTTTTTTGAAAACGGGTACGCAGCACCTTCTTCGGCAGCTTTGCCAAGCGACAAGAAGGCATGACTCCCAGAATTCGGAAAAGTTTATATACTTGGAAATAGACTGTTCACAAAGGCAAGACAGATATTAGTACAACTGCAAAACGAGTAATTTAATTAATCTTAAGATAAGGTTGCGCCAGTATACCTAACAACAACGTTAGATTTTAGGTTTTTTATTGTAATGTAAGGGAAGAGAAGGTACTCAAAAACAAAATGTGGTATGTCTACCTACATTATTTACACATCGAATACTACACCATTTAAAATAACTGAAATTGTGTATTTCAGTCTAAATTCTCAAGTAAGAACTCATGAATGCGGTCTCCGAATTGTGGACCCTCAAACATCGGATTTGGGGCTTTGGCGATGTGCTATTGAAACTGATCAGGACGAGTATTACGGATTCTTGACAGTACTCTGCCCTTGGGCCATGCGGGATCCTGAAGTCGCTGCTTCCGTAGTGTCAGGTAAATTGACACATATTTTATAGTAACGATGTGAACCTACTGTCTCTCGAGCATGGCATCTACAATAAGATAGTTGCTTTCTTAAAAAAAATCTAAATATCTATTATATACCAAAATGAAAACAGTTTTCAACTCAAATTCAAAATCATTTATTTACTTTGGAGCTTTCAGCCTGTTGTGCATGTAATATTTTTTCTGACTATCCCTTCTGTAGAAACCTTTAATGAAGAATCTACGTGACTTAGCCATGTTCAAATATTATCAATTTCGCTTTCAGAGCCTGTCTTGACCACCGATGTAGATAGAATCACAGCTGTGGAGGGCGACGCCGTGACCATGACATGCTCGATACAGTCCGCAGTAAGGTACTGTTACTTTAGAGCACGCAATGGAACTGTCTTCAATATTTCACCTGGTAACTACGAGTTATTTATCATTTATGCAATTTTTTTTAATAATTTTAAGAACCATTTATAAAGAATTTCACTTTCATCTAAGCAATTCGAATACAACGGCTATCTTAATTTACATATCAACACAAGAACACATTCTTGCATTTAAAATTAATTATGTTTTCCTATATGGCAATATTTATCCGCAAAAATCGAAAATAAAATAAAAAAAAACGTAAACTCGGTATCCACTGCACCAATTTGAGAAATTATTTCACTATTTGAAAGATACATTCTGTGAAGTTATATAGGCCAGCTACGACCAACGGCATTCAAATAGATCGAATAAAAGATTAAACGGTTTCTATAAGTAACACGAAACTCACATACTTATAATTTGCGATATAAGCCGGAGTGGACTATTTCCTTGCATAATATTAGCAACTATCAAAATATATAATATATAGGTGAATTGTATTCTAGAAAATAGGCTTTATTTTGTAATTTTTGTGATTATGAGAATATATCTTCATTGATTACGTTCTACAAATCTAATGTCTAGCATATATTACAGGTACCTCATCAGAGACTATGGAGTACGTAGGTGCAGGTTTGGATGCCGGCGAGTGTGGTATCAGATTTAAGAACCTGCTGTCCTCCGATAGCGGCAGCTGGAGTTGCCACGTCGGTTTCCAAGACTTCAATGAACCAGAACAAAGGGCAGTTTTTGATGTTACTGTAAATGGTTGGTACAAAGCATAGCTATGAATATAAATTCATCAGAATTGACCACATACATGTATATATTAAGATATTGTTATTATAGGTACTTGGACTCTGACCATTTCGGAATCCATACCGTACGTTATTCCAGAAAGTTTTTGTTGCTCATATGTATATTGTTAATTATCACCCAGCAATATTAAAATCTTCAAAATTCCGAAGATACAGTATTAAAATCTTCAAAGAATGGGCAAAGTCAATCTTAAATCTATTTTTGATCTTTAACTAGCATGCAATTCGTTGTGCGTGCTAAATAAGCATCGAAAAACACTTATTATTAGAGGCCTATTAAGGTTTGCCCCTATGCTAAATTTATATGAAGAAGTTGTTGTTATACAAATTTTTATTTATCTAATATTAATTTACATTACTTTTCACTATTTATATGAGGCTTGAAGTAAGCTAATGTAATGTATGTAAGAATAAAAAAATCACGTAACGCCTGATATTTTACATTATACAATACGTTAACCGTAGGTTTTGCTTAGTCATTTTCTATTTAATTTGCATAGACTAAATAAAATAATCAGTAAATATAGTAACGTAAACGTAATCGTCTGTATATGGTTATATTACATAAATTCAATAATTTATGTCATATAACCAACCAACCTAATGGGTGACTTTATCAACATAATTACTAAGACGAATTATTCTAGAAGGATTATTAACTTTAAGGATTATTTATTTTTTTCTAAATGCACAGGCTGTAATTTTTGAAGCCAAACCTTCTTTTTATTTGGTTGCACAAATATTTTTCTCATTATAAAAGATCAGGAAGACTTTATGCCATAATTTTTCCGGTGAAAGAGTGATGCGATAAACTTAAGTACCGATTAAATAATCGGTAAATACCTACATGAACATTGTGTACTCGTCTGTGTAGGGTACCTTTGTCACATATATTTTCAGCTGCTATCTTTCTATATTGTTTTGGTTAAAGGGATGAGATAAAGCAGCACAGTTTCATAGTTACCTAACATCACCTGACGTCGCCTACAATAGTATTTTATTGTGCTATTTGTGTGCTGCTTTTTTAGCAGATAGTTTTTAAAATGATTTCGATTAAAAATTATATTAAAAATATATTGCAGAGCCAATGACTGCACGTCAATACGCTGAGCAGAGCACGCTGGTGGTGGAAGGGCAGGTGTACAACAGCCGACAGTTGGAGTACTGCAGATTTGTTCGCATCGATGGACTAGGTATCTATATCTATAAATTAGCTTGAGGCGAGACTTCGCATCGCTTGGTGTGTTCTACGGAATATACAACGGACTATGTTCTAAAGAATGGCTCTACATGATGCCTACGTCTACTTTTACCATAGCACCGCTCGCCATCAACAGGGAATTCATCGACACACGCAGGAACCTAAGAGGTACAGTGTACAGTGCAGTTTTTTAGAAGTTTCCCTTCATCGGAATATGGGTTAGAAATAATAATTGACACAAAATGTTTGATGTTGGCCAGTTAAACCCACGACCTCTCGAGTGTAATAAAAAAGAACGAATAATAATTATTTTATTACTTAGGTGTCACTGCAGCGAACCTGCCTGACCGGTATTCGAGTCACGACTCCCTAACCACTGGTCTATGTAAAATACGCATTGAAGACGCTACTATCCTAGACCACCACCCGTGGACTGTGGTCGCCAGGATCCTGGGTCAGGACGTAGAGATCTCTCAGAGCACGACGCACTCCATCACCATGCCACCAGCAGCGGCGCCTGGCAATCGTAAGCTTCTATCAGAATAAATAACCGACTACTAACGAATAAGCGACCTATCTGATTATTTGTCTATTTTATTTATTTATACTCTATGTAGCAGCAAGTACTGAAAATAATTAAAATACTAAGTTGACATAAACATCCAAAAAGCGGTCTTATCACTAAGCGATCTCTTCCTCTTCTTCTTTCTTAATATTAGACATAGACACAGTGTCACAATGTAGATAATCTTCTATTTAAAAAAAAAGAAATTCAGTTGAATTTTTTGCCAGTTCTTCTCGATTTATTCTGTTCATAGACTGAATTTAATATTTTTTTTTTGATTTGATCAGTTGATTATACTAAAATTTCTTCCATAAGTACTCAATAAATAACTACCAAGGTCAGCCTTAACTCTCTGAATTAATAAAAATAACGATATCTGGAAAAGGTGGCTCTGAATGACGCTGTATAAGTTGTCTAATTTATTTAATACTATCTCTTCCCGCGACATCCTCCGCGTGGAATGTAACTTTATTTTTCTAAAATAAAAGTAGCCTAAGTTACTCCTTATTACATCAACTACCTGCCAAAAAGAGTCCCGTCAAAATCGGTCCAGCCATGTCATAGATTAGCCGGTTATTTCAATATTACAAACCGACACTGCAATTTTATTTATATGCGTATATAGAGGTATAATATATCGTAATTATACTAATAACAAAATTATATAATTTCAGCAAATAAACAACTCATCTTTTGGATTCCAATGATGCTGCTGGTGATGGTGCTGACAGCTTTGGTTGTGTTGCTTGTACCTAAGAGGAACCGCAGGAGAACTCTGGACAGGATGAACATCATCAGAGACAGCATCCGCGGCAGTTTCCAGAAGAAACCGTTGCAGGACCCTGCTTTAAATACTGGCGTCATGGCGGCGTAAAAACTAAGATGACAATACGATTTTTTATGTAAAAATTTTAATAAAGCGTATATTCCTTTATTTTATATTATTTTATAATTTTATTATACTTGTTAAGTATTATCCATACAAATAATACCAATACGATAATATGTTTGTCTATCTATTACCTTTACACGTCTATGGCACAAAAGACCCTAATGATCTTTGACGTAGAAAGAGATTATATCGAGGATTGATATGGTCTATATTTTATACCAGCTGTTCCCGCGATTTTATCCGCGTGGAATTTAACTTTATTTTTCTGAAATAAAATATTTGTTCTAAATTATAAGAAGCCTAAATTATTCCTTATTACATCAACTACCTGCCAAAAAAAGTCTCGTGAAAATCGGTCCAGCCATTTCAGAGATTAGCCGAAACAAACAGACAGGCAGACAGATAGACAAAACTTGTAAAAAATGTTATTTTGGTGTATGTACCGTATTTATATTCATATACATTTAGTAAAAACGGTTATTTCAATATTACAAATAGACACTCCAATTTTATTTATATGTTTAGATAAAAAATAACCATACGAAGTCGTGGGTAATTTATTTTGTGAGTAATTTATAGTAGTTTTATTTAATATTATATATTATTAGTGTCCACGCTACACTACTGTTGCCCCAAGTTGGGGCTAATACTGGGGTATTTCGAAGACACTCTATTTTTTTATTATTTGAAAGAAGAATAATGTACTTTTTGAGTTTTCTTACTAATATTATAAATGCAACTCTGTCTGTCTGTCTCACTTAGTTGCCAAAACTACTGAACCGATTTAAATGAAATTTGGTACACAGATAGACTAGAACCTGAGAAAGATAGTTACTTTTTAAAGAGAAAAAGGGTTGTAAGGGGGTTGAAAAGGTAGATGAATGGTTGTATGGAAGTATCATTTTTAAAGCTAGATAAGCTAGAAGCTTGAAATATATTTTTTAGAAAGGGTTGAAAGGGATTGAAAGGTGGTTGAAAGATAGTATGGAAGTATCGTCATTTTCAAAGCTGGAAGCTTGAAACTTATTGTTGAGCTTTAGGTGTATGAAATTCTGTATGGAAATTCGTTAATTATAATTAAGAAAATGAAATTGTGTTAGATTACTAAATATTTTTTTCATTATGTGGTCAAGATGACTATTTTACTCGGACGAAGACGGTACAGCTCGGTTTTCTATAAAGTTAGATACTGACCTGTTTACCGAACTCCTTCACCTTACACGCGTGCGCAAACTAACATACATAGTTTTACTATGTTACATTATCTTATCTGTGATTATATCCACAGAACATGGTCTGTGGGTAAAACCCGTAGACAAATTACTTATTTACATGATAATTATTAAGTAATTCTAATGTCTATTTCAAATTCTTTATTTTCCAGCCAATTTTGAGTATATTTAAATTGTAAGTTAATATACTTAAATGCACAATAATATTCGTAACATTCTCATATTGTAGATTGGTGGGTTGATATTTGTTGAATATTTATATACACACGAATAAATTTGACCTATGGGAAGAGGTCTTCCTATTGGTGATACATTTGATGATTTTTAATTATTTAGGCTAATTATAGCCTGCTCAAGAAAAAAGTTTCATAGTTCTAGCTTAAAAAATAACGAATTTCCATACAAACTTTCATCCCCCATTTTTGAAAACTTACCCTTAGGGGTAATATTTTTTAAAACTTTGAATATCGTATTTATTTCAATTTTATATACATCTTTAAAAATACGTTTCAAGTTTCTAGCTTTAAAAATCACGATACTTCCATACAAACTTCCCTCTCCCCTTTCAACCCCTTACAACCTTTTTTCGCATTAAAAGTCACCTATATCTTTTCTCAGGCTCTAGACTATCTGTGTACCAAATTTCATTCAGTAGTTTTGGCGTGAAAGCGAAACAGACAGACACAGACTTTCGCACAGATCAGAAAAAATAACGATTCATTTAGAATTTAATATATTTAAATATCGCCTACCGATATCAAACTTATGTATGATATAAAAGAACCACATCCTTTGAAGTAGGTTAAAAGTAGGTATCCAACGTCACGATTTCAAAACGAAATCAGGCTTAAAATATTATCGTATTATAATATTATATATTTATGATATAGAATAATTATTATATAAATACCTTTCTATGGATCTTTTCTTTATATTTATATGAAATATTCACTGTCTATTTGAAATTCGCCATTACTAAGGTACTCTTCAATCCGAGTAAAATATTGTTTGTTTTAAAAAATTAACGTTTTGTATGTTTTCATTAAACATTTATCAAGAAATATTTATTTATCAATTAAATTTTTTATGCACAAATACAAAAATAAAGGTGCATATGGCGGTATTAATGCCTTAAAGCGTAAACATGTAGGTATTTATTTGTAGTTCTGTTTTTAATATGACTCTTTAGTCTTATTTTAATTAAGTAAATAATATGGGTAATATTATAGAAGTTACTATGTTCGTCCATGGTAATTGCATGCTGCATCTGCGAGTAATAAACTGGAGGAAGAAGAGGGGGTTGTTAATAATAGGGTTTGTGGTCCCTAGCATTGACCTCCACGCGATCCTCTCTGGAAACCGTTGTGGATAATTCCTGGTGAATCCACCACAATAGGCTAACCGATCTAACATCAGTCTCATCCCATCCCTCACTTTATCGCTAGCATAGGCGGGTTCGGCATTTTATCTTTTTGCCTATTTCTTTTAATGGATGATTATAGAATAATGCACCCGTTTGCGCTAATGGTATACGCTGGCGGGGCACCAGTAGAGGATGTGTTGAGGTGTGGTGTTCAGGGAGAACCGCGCATAGGTCGACCTAACATGGTACATTCCTTCCAATCATTCCACTTCCCCTAATGTTTGTCTTTTGTACCTGTGGATAATTTTATCCAAGTGCGGATGTCCATTTTATACAGTCATAGAACCACCTATGACTGTATCCGCATCATTTAGCTCGCACAAAAAAAATTATTCAGCGCGTTCTTGTGCAAGATTTGTTTTCCAATACATCGTAGAGCCCATGTATCACCATATTTAAATAGTAAAGACCTTATGAGTATGGAAACACGGCGTAAATTACACTTTGCCAGTTTACTATTTGAAGTTGTAAAAAAGCAGACGTTCAGTAGTCGTCATTCACGCGGCGGTCATTTGATATGTCCCTCACATAAAACGGCATATTGTGGTAGTTTTCGCTATTTTGCTACGAAGTGCTGGAATAACATCTCTCTTCCTATAAAGGATTCTTTAACTGTGCAGAATTTTTAAATAAATTTGAAAAAGTTTTACTCCATACTCACAAAACTGTACTCCAAATGCAGGGTAACGCAAGTTGTCATATTTTGTCTGATAGTGTCACCAGATCATTATGTGTTATATAATATTTCAGTGTGTACTAGTGATTGATATTTAATGTCATAGTAATATATATTTAATGTTTACTCAGTGTTATAAGCCTAGATTTATGTAGGTATGTCTATTATAATTATATTTATATGTGTGGAGGTATCAGAATCGCAGAATACCAGCGTCATGGCATATCAGCATAAGTATCTAATTAGTATAATCCAATATGCAATTTAAAATTAAAAAAATATATTTGTTATTGTTATGTGCACCAAATAAACTTGTTCTCTTTCTTTCTGTCCATTGTATTGTAGGCACAGTGCGACACCTTAGCCCATTGTGACAAATTTTTGGTGAATTTGTCACGATGAGAATGAGGTCAGGTCAGTTACTGACCTGATCTCATTCTCATCGTATCACCTTCCACTGGTGCCCCGCCAGCGTATACCGTTAGCGCAGTGCACCATTCCATTATCATCAAATTTAAAAAAAAGATAACATAGTCGAGTGTCTAGAGAACCTGACATTGTGGGCGACGCAGCTGTAATCGAACCACAACATGAGTTCCAAAGTTTGTGGTCGGGGTGCCCATTGACATACTGTCTACCTTCATGAAGGAAGATACTGTCGAAGGGAGTGCTAACGCTTCCGTGGCAAAATTAATTTGTGTTATGACCACAGATACATCATTACATATTTATTTAATTTTATAAAAAAATATTCTTTATAATTAAAATGGTAAATATACTGATATATTAACTGATACAAAAGGCAGTTTTATCGTTAAGTAATAAAAAGAAGAAAAGGGTAGGTTTCATTTTGTTCATTAAGTTGCATAGAATAAAATAACTATATTATTGCTATCAGACCCGGCCACGCGTTGCTTAATTATAGTCGTAATATTATTTTATTCAAGAACCTTAGCCACGATACATGAATATAAATTAATAATATTACAACTATAAACTGAGATGTGAGCTATCCTATCTTTCAAGTTGGATCAAATGTGCATCGGTTCAGTAGAGTAGGTGTCCATCGCGGACAAACAACTTGACACGTAATTTTTATATGTAAAGATGTATTAATAACTTTCAGTGAAGAAGGAGACTATTAGCGAAAATCAGCAGATAAGATAATAATATAAAAGTATATAATATAAATATATAATTTAGATTATTTACAAGTTTTTCATTAGAATAGTAGTTTCATTACAAATGACAGTGGAGTGTTGAGAGCAATGTGTTCGAAAGATGTTTGGAAGATAGTAGGTCCCATTATTCTGATAACAGGTGATTTATTTTTGTTCTTCTTAGAATACAAACCAAACTAATGATACCCGTCACATTATCATCAGTCGCGTTTTTTTTTATTTATTCATTAGTCTCCACAGACATAATAACCGTGGCTTTGTTAATTTTGACATTTAGATATTTTTTCATTAATATATCGTATTATAAAATCAAACCACTTGGTGGTAAGTTAGTAGCTAGAGATTACAGTCTGGGGTTTTTCAAGAAAGGTATATTAAGATGTCTTAATGGTCGGGACCGTGCAAAACACCGCTAGTATTTCAGGTGTCCATAGGCTACCGTTTACCTCTGTGCCGTATGATTGTTGTATTTTCCCATAATCGTGGTATAAAGAAACTCCAACATGGACATCACATGATCATAATGCGTGCGTGATATCACTCATGCGCTGCCATTCTGGAGTACTATTAAGTCATGCCCAGTATCCTATAAATTCACTGCCTTATTTTGACCCTTCAATTGAAACACAGATTACAGTATCTTGATGGCCTCAGTGTCTAACCGTTTAGCACACCGCTTTACTTCAAGTGGTCGCGGGTTCGATTCCTCGCACGGTGCAAACATTTGTATTCATGAGTATGTAGTATATTATTGATTATATCGGTCTGGGTGTTTTCTATGTATATTGTGTATATATTAAAAAAAAATCTATGTATTTATATCAGTTATTTATTACCCATAACACAAGCTCTGCGTACTGTGGGACTAGATGGCACTGTGTTAATTGTCGATGGTTCTTTATTATTTATATGGTGACACAGATGACTTTTCCTTTTTAGAAAGTCTACAGCTGTAAAATAATATGTAGTTCCATTAATCATTTGTAGCTGTTTACAGTTACTGGCGTGACCACGGCAATTATAAAACTAGTAGGAGGAAATGATGCAGTACGAGATATAAAAATCTTAGACAAAAAAAATTTCGACGTCAAAGTTGGTGAAAATGTCCGAGTAACTATCCCTGCGGATGAGCTGAACCTACACGAAAAATGCTTTATATATTTAAATAATGGTGAACGATACAGTCTCACTGAAGAGTTAAGTGTAATAGGTATAAAGATAATTGAAAATTATAATTATGCATGCGGAGTCAATATTGATATTCGATCTAAAACTGTTACTGGTGACTGGACTCTAGTTTCTTGGGAAATAATGTTGTACTACATCCCTATAGAGAGAAGGTTGCCGTTCACCATAAATGTTCAAGGTAAGCTGTTTCGATACACTCAATAATCCATATTGATATTATGTATAAAAAAGAGCGCATGTCAGTTTGAACTTTGACATGGAGATAGATTCTACGTTTCACTAGAATAGATATAGCCTATCTTTTATCCTAAAAATATGTACTAGTAAAATACAATTCGTTTTTTATATGTATCTTGTGCAAGACCAGGTATTTGTTATAAGCAAATAAGAAATAATTAATTTATAATGAATACCTGAGCAATCGCGCTTCGTTAGATTCTTAGTTTGATAAAAATCTCGTTTAGATAAACTTTGTGTACAGATACCCAGTTATTTTCACATTAAATAAGTAACATAGTTTTTTTCACCGAACAGTCAACACTAGGCTTCCAAGCTATATCCAAACTCTAACACGTGTCGCCTCAATATGGATGTAGATTCAATGACGGTCGGTCAACACTTTTACATACCAGTTTACTAATATCTAAACATTAAGAAAATTTTATACAAAATAGCAATGTTTTGCATGTGTTTTAGTATAAAATTGTACTTTTAATCGGAACATGTGTGATTATTGTATAATGTCTGTATTGACAAACAAAAAAGAAGCAAAATATATATGAAATACCACAAACTTTTATTCAAATTAAATGGGGAGTTTAAAACTGTTTCCACGAAACAAAAATTTCAACTAATAGGAATATTAGAAATTGGAATAGGGTTGGATCTTATATATTGGTTTGTCTATACCAATATTATTATTATAGATAATGGCGGCGACAACACAGAATCAAAACAAATTATGATAACAGAAGGTAGTGATCTCTATTTGCACCTAGACAGCAAAACAGACCTTAGTGAAACTTGCAAGCTCGTTGGGCCTGACGAGAACGAGAGTGTCAATTTTGAATTAGATCCCAAATATCTTGAGAGTTGTGGATTCATAATCAAAAATGTTAAGCCATCTGACAGTGGAACATGGGAAATTAGATATGGAAACGGGACTATTTTAAGAGCTTTCACTGAAGTAACAGTAAACGGTGAGTTTCTTGTTACAATTACAATTTTATAACTTAATGTTATTCCGTAACTTAATTATAGCTGTTTTTTGCATTTTACAATCGATGCGATTTATGTTTCAAAAGATATCATAGTTACTTGAAATACTATTCTGAATTTTTCAAAATATTTACAGTTATTTGTACATAACATTGTATACGTTATTTACAATTGTTATTATGATATAGTGAGTGTTTTATTGTAAATATTTCCGGTAGTATCAGTGACTGTACATAGACAAAGATTAATATTCCTTATCAACCAGGTCCAGGGTCTAAATTATTAGTCCGCTATACATATTATGAACTATATCTCTAGGGGAGGCCTGTAACAGGATAGCAAGACAACTTTCACGTACAGGTGTTAAATAAAGAAACATATCCTAAATATTTTGTAAGAAAGATTGTTAATTGACATGTTACAAAACTTATTCGGTGAAATGGGAACGTGATTCATTGGAGACAATAAATAGGAAATGTTTCATAGGATTGTTTTAAAATGATTTCGTTTCAGAGGCAATGTCAGCACGTCAGTACAGTGAGCAGAGCACGCTGGTGGTGGAGGGGCAGGTGGACAACAGCCGACAGTTGGAGTATTGCAGATTTGTTCGCATCGATGGACTAGGTACCAATATCTATAAATTAGCTTGAGGCGAGACTTTGCATCGCTTGGTGTGTTCTACCGAATATACAACGGACTATGTTCTGAAGAATTGTTCTGCATGATCGCTACGGCTACCTTTTACCATTGCACCGTCCATCGATACGGAATTCACTCCCACATGTTGGAACCTAAAAGATCTAGAATAGTGGATGTGGTTTCATAGAAGATTCCCTTCATTTCATAGAAGACTCACACTCAGGGGTCAGATATAACAATTGCATGATGACTTCGATGGACTAGGTATCTACATCTATAACACTCTTATCTTTTTTTCTTTACTCTGTGCTGCTAGCATATACATACATAAGATCTCAAATTTTACACATGTGTTAATGACAGTATATTCCGTATTTGATATAAAAAGGCGCATACATCGCCTATAACAAGAGGGGGAACGGATTGTCAATAATACAGAATAGTAACCCCAAACAGTTTGTTATGTTAAGTTGACTTCCACACGGTCCCCCCTGGAAGCCATCGTTGGTAACCTCTGGTGAATTCGTTACTAGCTTACTAACCTAACTTTATAGTCATCCTGCTATCCTTAACTGGTACACCATTCCATTATCATCCATTAAAAAAACATCACCGACAAGAAAACAACGCCCGTAGTACCACTCATGCGTTGCCATTTCAGATGACTAACTTGATACGCCTTTGTACTCTGTAATTTCGCTGCCTATCTCATGATCCAAAGGAAATATAATATGCAAAGCTGCTTGGTAGCTGATTGATTTGAGAGTGGCAGAAGACCCACGCAGGTGATTCTGTAAGAAGACTACCTAGTCTAGTATTATAAAATCATTACACAATTCTAAAGATATGACATTTTGCACATATAAGTTCTTAAGCGACAATACGTAAGTTTAAAATATACAATATAAACACAATGCTAATGAATATGCTGATGCTACATCAGTAAAGCATTAAAGGACAATCGTAGCTAATTTACCTTACCAGCAATTAAGCACTTTGGATTCCAATAGTCCCCGTTACTACTAATCCCCTCTCTTCCCATAGCCATCTATTAAATAAAGTTATATTAGTTATTTCTATAAACAACTATTATGACATTGCTCTAATTATTCAATTTGGACATTCCAGTGAAGTAAAAAATTCAAAGTAATATTACAAATTGCTTATACTATTAATTAGGTGTCACATCTTTTTTTTTTTTTTTTTAGTTTTTTTTTTTTTTTTTTTTTTTCTCGACTGGCAACATTACCGATAACTGTCTTTGTCAGCTGGCCGTAATAATTAAATACTTTTATATAATTTACTAAGTGCAATTGATATAATTAGTGAGTTTAAGCTATAAGAAGCATCTATTGTTGTTTGTGTTCATTTTTATATTGTATTTGTGTACAAAAATCGACACAAATATTTCCTACCGGTCAACTGTCAAAGTTCGTAATAAACTTATATTTACATCAATCTTGTATATGTTATCGCGTAATTCAATTTAAATTATTATAACATTCCTTTATTATTACTTGTTTTGTGTTACATGTTAATATTGTGGTAATTTTAAAAGTGAATTCAAGTTGTGCGTCGAACTAACCAAATATTATTGTAAGTACTAACTGTAAGTTCTTACATATAATAATCTTTAGTATTGTTATTTATATTTAACATATTTACTAACATTACTTACATATTATATATTTATAAATAAATTTTATTGTAAGGAAATAGCACAAGTTTTAAATTCCATTTAATTCCTTTATATTTAAATTTATTACTCAGCATATTTAATAATGATGTCCCGAAGAGCCTGTGATCTTGATGCTAAACTTAAGGTGGCACTCGTTGAATTAAAGAAAACCCAAGACTTGAATAAAGTATTGTTACAGGAACGGGATGATAGTGAAATAGAGATGAAATTTCTATTTGACAAATATGTGGCCAAGGGGGAACTTGTAAACATTAATGTATTCTGTGAAGACCTACGCGTTGACAGGGATAGACTTCAGGAAATTGTTAATGAATATGATCACTGCAGGGACACATATGAGTCAAATCTACAGCGTATCACTCACCTCGAGAGACACCTTAAGGAAGCTCAAGCACATAGTGAATCTATGTTGGAACACAAACGGGTGAGTAGCTATAATAACACCTTAGATCTGTATACAGAATTGTTAAATGTCACTTGTGATCAAAAGTCTACTCAGCCGTTGGTGACCATAGATTTAACAAATACACCCAGTTCAAATAGTTGTACTAGTCAATTTAATAGTGTCAATAAATTAAAAAAATATATAAAAATAAACAAATTTATTAAAAAGTCAGAAAAGTTAGTGAGAACTCATACTAAATGTTTAAAATCTATAAATATTAGAAGACAAAAATTAGACCTGTTACAAGAACTTCAAAATTGTAAAACAAATTTACATGATAAGGATTTAGAACAAAATAAATTAAAGAGTAAAATTCAAGAGTTGGAATCTTTATTATATAATTTAACAAATAAATATGAGTGTGCTCAACATGAAATTAATAACTACAGTAAATCACTGGATAAATTAATAGAGTTGGGTAATTACAACATGGAGCGGTTCACCTCATTGACAGAGAAATGTTGTTGTGAGACACCTGAATCTCCTAAATCTTGTCAATATAGCCCTAATGGAAATAACAATAAGTCAATCACATCAGTCTTGACTGAGTCAATCACTCCTTGTTCAAATTTACTCAATTCTAACTTGTCTTTAAAAACTGATAATTGTAATGTTGCACCAGTACGAAGGACAATTATTTATTCAGATGAATATAGTAAGGGTTTGGGCCGTTCATTATCAGAAAGTTTATCTCAACATGTTATAAATAATTGTCTACCTGGTGCTTCATTGCCTGTATTTTAAATAAGGTGGTTAATGGTAGGTATGATAAGTTAACCACATTAGTCATTGCTTTAGGCAACTGTTTAAATGTAAAAAAAAAGTCATGTCATTAAACTTGTAAACTCTTTGCTTAATATTGCTGAGCTGGGCATAGGTAAAATAATTTTATGTGCATTTCCTTACTGTCATTCTCTGACTATTGAACAAAATAAGTTCATATATTATATTAATAATTTAATTTATAATATGACTTGTCGTCATAATGACTTTTTATTTTTTGATAGTAACAAATTTGTTACAAACTTTTGTATGACTGGAGATAGATTTTATCTGCCTAAAAAACAAATAAGAAATATAGCTAGTTTACTAGCTTATAATATAAATGACCCCATTATAAGTAATATAATGGGTTGCACTAATACAATTAGTAGTATTTGTACTAATGTTAATACTAAACATTCTGAAAATATTGACATAAATATTGATTCTAGTAAGAATCCTTTTATTTACAATAATTTAAATATGACTGCAGATTTAAACTGCTGAAAATGACAAAGGGAAAGCTATCAGAATTGAAAATTGTTCACCAGAACATACAAAGTTTTCTCGGCTGTGAATTAATTATTCAATTGTTTTTAGAAAAAAATAATATAGATGTTCTATGTTTAACTGAACATTGGCTCAAAGTGAGCAATATGATGTTAAGCTTAAACAATTATAATATTGTCAGCTGCTTTAATAGAAAAATAGTAAATAGAGGAGGTTCCATGATATTGGTGAAAAATAATATAAAAGTAAAAGAACGTTGATATTGGCAATCTTTCCGTTGAGTGTTGTATTGAAATTTCCTGTGTGGAACTAGAAAATTATATAGTTATGTGCGTATATAGACCTCCAAATAGTGATTATAATTTATTTGAAGAGGTAATGGAGGATATTTTAAAAGAGTATTTAATATTAACAAAAAATTTATAGTGTGTGGTGATTTCAATGTTGACATTTTATCACATAACACCACAAAAACTAAATTAATGAGTTTATTTCAATCTTTTGACTTGAGTAATGTCTTCCACGAACCCACTCGTATCACAGCCACGTCTGCTACTTGTTTGGATAACATATTTAGCAACAGTGAATATTTAGATAAAATAATATTAAACAACCTTCCTTCTGATCACTGTGGTCAATTATTAATTTTTCCAAATCACGTAAACAAAATTAGGAAAATTAATTTATTAAAAAGAGACTTGACTAGTTATAAGATAAATAAATTTAAAATATCAGTTCGTAGTAAATTAGATTTTTGTCCTCAATCTGATGAACCAAACAAACTTTATACAGATTTCTTCAATATTGTTTCTTACGAATATAATAAGGCTTTTAACAAAAAAACTATCAGTATTAGTAACAAAACAAAATTTTCAGAATGGGCTACAAGGGGAATTCTTAAAAGTAGAAATATATTATTTGATTTATATGATCAAAAAAAATACCGTTTCGATAGTACATTCGTAAATTATGTAAAAAGATACTCAAAAACTTTTAAAAAGGTATGTAATGTAGCAAAGTCTAATTATCTAAATAAAAAAATTAAAGAATCCAAGGATAAGATTAGGACAGTGTGGAATATTATTAATAAAGAAACTGGCAAAGTTAAAAGTCCATATAATGATTTTACGTTAAATTATAATGATAAACTAGTAACGTCCACAAAAGAAATAGTCAATATTTTTGAAAAATTTTTCGCTAGTATTCCAACTGATATTACGTCCTCTTTGGACTCTTCTCCAAGTATAGCTAAATCATTCCTTATTGACAATGTTGCTTCGTGTCCGGTTACATTTAAATTTACATTTATTGACATTGCTACAATTACGAAAACATTTAAACAATTAAATTTAAAAATACTGAAGACCATTGGGGCATGTCTGAAAGTTATTAACACCGCTATAGATGTTATTGCTCCATATTTAGTAACTATCTTCAATAAATGTATTTTTGACGGTGTTTTTCCCAATTTAATGAAACATAGTAAAATAACTCCACTTTTTAAGTTAGGGGATAAAACTGAAGTAGGTAATTATAGGCCCATTTCTATCTTACCAGTATAAGTAAAGTGTTCGAAAAAATTATGCTCAATCAGATGCTTCACCACTTTAAAATAAATAGACTGCTTCACAGTCGGCAATTTGGTTTCACGGCCGGTAAATCAACTACTGACGCTGGTGACTGTTGGGAGAGGTCACAGGATGCTATCGGTGTATTCTGTGACCTCTCAAAAGCATTTGATTGCGTTGATCATGAAACACTCTTACTCAAATTAGAATATTACGGTATTAGATATAAAGCACTATGCATGATGAAATCCTATCTAAATAATAGAATGCAAGTTGTTGAAATAAATGGTGTAAAGTCTGAGGGAACTAGTATTAAAATGGGTGTTCCTCAGGGCTCTATTCTAGGTCCTTTCTTATTTTTAGTTTACATAAACGATCTTCCTTATATGGTAGAAAAGATAGCTGACATAGTTCTGTTTGCTGATGATACTTCATTAGTATTCAAAGTCAATCGACATATTGATGATATGGACGAAGTAAACGGTTCTCTCTCTTATGTTTTAAAATGGTTTACGGCAAATAATATGCTACTAAATGCAAATAAAACTAAATGTATCAAATTTACTCTCCCCAATGTAAGGCCGGTAGATTCAAAAATCGTATTGGACAATAAATCTATTAATTTTGTTGACGATACTGTATTTCTAGGTATCACATTAGATTCCAAGTTGCAATGGGGTGCTCATATCACTAAATTGGCGAGTCGAATTAGTTCTGCCGCTTACGCGGTAAGAAGAATTAGACAATTAACAGACGTGGCAACGGCTAAACTTGTCTATTTTAGCTATTTCCATAGCATTATGTCGTATGGTATTTTGTTATGGGGCAAAGCAGCTGATATAAATACATATTTACTTTACAAAAGAGGGCCATTCGCTCCATTTATGGTATGGGTTCCAGGGAGTCATTGCGAGAGTGTTTTAAGGAATCAAATATCCTCACCGTTGCTTCTCAATACATTTATGAAAATATCATCTATGCCAGAAGGAATATAGACAGTTTCAAAAGAGTTAGTGATTGCACTAATAAAAGCTTACGTAACAATAACAAATTGATTTTACCTAAATGTCGTTTGGCTAAAGTTAGTAATTCGTTTTATGGCAATTGCGTAAGGTTTTACAATAAAATACCAGAGTCTGTTATAAATCTGCCAGAAAAAAGATTTAAATGTCAAATAAAACAGTTCCTTTGCAAAAAAGCTTACTATAAAATTGAAGAATTCGTTAACGATAATAATGTTTTTATAGAAAAACTTTAAATCTAAAGCACTGACTATATTATCTGATTACATTAATAATGAGTGCGTAGCGACTTCTATGTTGATTATCGCATGCCTCTTACTTGTTATACTGTAATTATTTATATAAAAAAAACATCTATTAAAAAGAGCAACACACAAGTTTCTTGCTCATTCTTCTTGTGATGAATCTGCATTCCGAATGAGCGGTAGAATCAAAATATGACTATTCAAAAGTGCTTGTAATGAGTTTATTTGAATAAAGATTATTTCTATTTCTATTTCTATTTCTATTTCATCAGAGAATCTTCCTGACCGGTATACAAGCCATGACTCCCTAGCTACTGGTCTGTGTAGAATACGCATTGAAGACGCTACAATACTAGACCACCACTCGTGGACTGTGGTCGCTAGGATTCTGGGCCAGGATGTGGAAATATCTCAGAGCACGATGAACACCATCACTATGCCACCAGCAGCAGACCCTGGCAATCGTAAGCTTCCAGCAATAATAACTTATACAGCTTGTTGTATTTACTTAGAAAATTCCAAATAAAAATATTTAAATAAAATAGTAAAAAAATACCCCTGGACAATTCACGCAGTGCCATCTAGGCCCAAGTTAAGCAGAGTTACAGAGAATTTGAGCTTAAACTTAAAGTCAACTTAATTTTATCACACATGTACTTCTTATTCTATGATAGATAATTTTCTTATTGTATATTATTAATAAAAACACTTATACACGATCAAAGCGATCTTATCGTGTTTATATATATACTGTAAATATTAATAATAAAGATGAAGATCTTAGTGGTCTAGTCATTAGCACACTACTTTACCTTTATATTTCCGTAAGATTAATGTTCTTGGATCTAAACACTGCTGTGGGATTTGTCTACGATTGAATTCTACTAATAATGAAATCCTACAATTTCAGTGAATAATCAGCTTATCTTTTGGATTCCAATGATATTACTGGTGATCGTGCTGACAGCTTTGGTTGTGTTGCTCGCCCCTAAGAGCAACCGCAAGAGAACTCTGGACAGGATGAACATCATAAGAGACAGCATTCGCAGCAGTTTCCAGAAGAAACCATTGCAGGACCCTCCATCAATAACTGGCGTCACGGTGGCATAATATGAAATATTTCTCCAATATTCGATATTGTGGGTAAAACGAATAAAAATGATGTTTTTGTTTTTTCATTTAGATTTTCAAAAAGTACGAAAATTAAACATACCTTAGTAACTCGATAATCCCCTCCGATTTTGATGATTTGATTTTGATCACGGTCTTTAATGTATTCCGTACATGAAATAACGTAATCAATTGGAAATTATATTTTTCTGGAAAATGTAATAATATCTATTACATTTTCCAGAAAAATATAATAATGTGGAGAACGTGTGATTTCCAATAGTAAGGAAGAAGGTATGATTTCTAATAGTAATAAATAAGGGAGAACGTATGGTTTCCAATGTTAATAATTAGGGAGAAGGTATGATTTCTAATAATAATAAATTAGGGAGAACGTATGATTTCCAATAGTAATAATTAGGGAGAAGGTACGATTTCTAATAGTAATAAATAAGGGAGAACGTATGGTTTCCAATGTTAATAATTAGGGAGAAGGTATGATTTCTAATAATAATAAATTAGGGAGAACGTATGATTTCCAATAGTAATAATTAGGGAGAAGGTACGATTTCTAATAGTAATAAATAAGGGAGAACGTATGGTTTCCAATGTTAATAATTAGGGAGAAGGTATGATTTCTAATAATAATAAATTAGGGAGAACGTATGATTTCCAATAGTAATAATTAGGGAGAAGGTACGATTTCTAATAGTAATAAATAAGGGAGAACGTATGGTTTCCAATATTAATAATTAGGGAGAAGGTATGATTTCTAATAATAATAAATTAGGGAGAACGTATGATTTCCAATAGTAATAATTAGGGAGAAGGTACGATTTCTAATAGTAATAAATAAGGGAGAACGTATGATTTCTAATAGTAATAATTAGGGAGAAGGTATGATTTCCAATAGTAGTAATTAGGAAGTACGTGTGATTTAATAACAATATTATTAATATTGTAGGGTCAACATATGATCTAATTTCTGTGATGTAAATGCATACATGAGACATGATGAGTTTCCTCGTAGAATTATTGTTATTTAGAGATAGATCTACTTATTATTTGTCCAGATCATCATCTAAGTTAAGTATTGGGTATAGAGTAATATGATTATGACATTAAATGATGAATAGATAATACATATGTAAAATCGCCTCCTTTTGAAGTGCATTAATTTTATAGAAATATATATGATAGTTCATGAACTTCTTCCTAAACTTCCTCTGAAACGACCAATAATTTGTACTTAAAAAAATTGTAGTTATGTAATTCTACTGTATTGTTTCCCTAATAAATAAATAATAAACAAAATTGTAGTCACTTTTGGCTATTTTTAATTATACATTTTTATTTAATAATGTTTTTCTGTTATTATTATTTAAGTTATTTTTATTCGTCTTTTGACGTAGTGCTCTCTCTTATCCATAAAAAGAATGAAAGAAGAATTAACTCATTTTAAAAAAGAATTCTAATTGTAGGTATAAGAATTTTCACGACAGATGATAAAATACTAAGTTCATCAAATTTCCCTGCATATTCCGCAACAACAGCTTTGGCAGTCTAGCAGTTTAGCACACTAGTTAGTCCGATGTTCGCTGGTTCAATTCTTCGCAAGATACAAATATTTCTAGTCTTTTTTTTTAACGATTTCCATTCAGTTGTCTCTTTTTTATTGTATTTGTAGTATGTATGTCTAAGTTGTCTATAACTCATAACACAAGCTCTTCATAGTTTGGACTAGAGGGCGCTTTATGAATTATGATTATAAAATTATTAGTGTAAAACAGAACATAAATTTAAAAATAATTCAACAAATTAAACGATTTGTTTAGAATTTATTACGTTAATTACTAAAATTAAAACTAATGCAAATATTGTTGTCGAGTGCATAAGAATTCAAACTCCGTCCTGCCATGATCAATCATATGTCATAAATAGATGTAAGCAAAGATAAACAGAAATGTATCGAAAGTAATTAAGTAACAAACGTCACTATTAGAAAGTAAAACAAAGCTGATTAAAAAAAAATTTGTTTAATTAAAAATTAATCTCATTATAAAATCAGATATCCCACTAATTAAATATTGCTATTGCTACGGCTCTGTGCACTAATTATGAATTTATATGATGTTGAGTAGATAGGTAGATGCTTAAACAACAAACGAATTTATACAATAAAACTCATACAAAATAAAAACAAAAAACTTAAAACATTACAAAAAAATAATAATAGGAGACATACATTTACCATATTATTTATACTGTATTAAAAAATTATGTGCATGTGTGTGTGTGTCAAAGCACCCACCGCAATATAAAATGAAATTATACAATAAAACAACCACAAAACAAAAACAAAAAACTTAAAACATTGCAACAATTAGGCAAAAAAAAATACGAGAAATACCTTTACCACTTTTTATTGTAAATAATATATTTACAGTGTACTAAAAAGTTACATGCATCTGCGCGTGTACGCACGTGTGTGTATATACGTGTTGTGTGCATTCACCGAATAGCCGCCACAACATTATGCTGAGCACGGGCTCAGGATAATGTTGTGGCGGCTATATCGCTGCAGCTCTGTTTTTCAGCACAATATAGTTTTGGGGTGGCGTGTTGCTGTGGTGTATTTGGCTTAAAACATTCTGACATGATCTGCACTAATAATGAAAAGAAAAAGAGATTGTTTGTATGTATTTTATATTGTGGAAGGTAAAACTTGGAATCTCTGTATCAATATGCAAAATTCTTTCAGCATTTGAAAGATGGACGTATATTATTTATATCGTTCAGTATAAGTGAATTCGGGACCCAGACAGCCCGTTTACTTATAAATCGATCTTTTATGGACTTTTTTGTAGTTTTATTTCAAAATTTTACAGTATACAGTATACACGAATAATTATTACGATTTTACGTACGCCCGATAGGAGATAGAACATTTTTACGTATTATCTTTTTAATTTATAGCCTGTGTGTTGTTTTGATGTCTAAGATATATTACTGTAAAGTTATATCAAAATCCATTCGTACATACTCACGAACTTTCGCGTTTATAATATTAGTAAGGAAGTAAATGTTGTATTTCTTACGACATATGTTCTTCAATGAAAGTTCGTTCGTTTTTAATACGTCTGTAGTATTCATCAAACGTCAGTATGGAAACCATATATAATATTTTGTAGTAATTAATTAGACCGATAGCAGATAAGATAATTCGAAAGTATATAACAATAATATAAATATATAATTACGATAGTTTACAAGTTTCTCATAGATATTTTAGTCGACATATAACGCGGAGAGTTATACGAAATGGAAAAGGAGAGCTGGTATTGGATAATTCCGGCTGTTCTGATGTCAGGTGATATATTTTTCTCTAGTTACTAATAAAATAACAATAGTAATAGATTAGTTACCTTATCTTCAATATTTTATTTTTATTTTTTATAATATATTATTACCTTATCTTTAATATTCATATACCTGTTTGTAATGTTATATTAACCGAGGCATGCTTTGAACAAAATAGACAACTTTGTTGTTGTTTGAATACAACCGACGACAGCATTTTCATCTTCGAAAAAGCAAGTGCCTTTTGACCTACTAAAATCGGCCATGTTTCAGAACGATTGTTGTCTCGTTCATTCATAATTTAAGAGCTACGCTCTTGTTGGTGGGGCTTTTGCCCCTGTCTGCGATTTTTCATCATGCTCTTTAAATGTTGATATGACACGACTCTCATTTTGTCTTTAATTTGATTGATGTAACTGTGCCTTGGTCTTCTCCTCTCCTCTTTCCTTCTGTTTTTCCCTCAATAATATTTTTTATAAAATCGTCGTGCCGTATCAAGTGTCCTAACATTTTTCCTCGCCTATTGTCGATTGTTACCTATATATATTTTTTGCAATAATACTATTTAACATTAATTACATGTAACTATTAACAGTTTCTGGAATGATAACCGGAATTGTGAAACTGGTAACACGGGATAATGATTCAAGAGAAGTAGAAATCTTAAACAGAGAAATATACAATACACATATCGGCGCAAATGTAAGGGTAACCATCCCTGCGTATAGGTACGAAAAAGAACAATGCTTCATAAAACTACCTAATTTTGATCGGCACGAGATGAATCAATATCTAAATGTAGACGGTATACATGTTATTAATGATCCGGACTATGTATGCGGAGCTGTTATCAATGTTCACTCCCAAGATATGGTCGGGGAATGGGTGATGATTGCTTGGGAGATAAGATACACCTACCCTTTAGAGAGAAGGTTACCATTCATCATAAAGGTTAACGGTACGTTGTTACAGTTTTGATAAATTATTTTATTTACTAATATATTTCGGATTTCATCCATGTGGAATATAACTTTATTATTAAATTAAATAAAATTTCTATAGAATAAAAATAGCTTGAGTTAATTCTTATAATATTGAGTTGAATTGAGTGAAAGCGGGACTCACTCAATTCAACTCAATATCAGAATCGGTTCAGCCATGTTAAAGATTAACAAAAACAAACAGACAAATGGGCAATTTTTTTATTAATTTTACATATGAGTAATGTATATGTATTTATTAATATATAAGGTACTTATATCAATAAAAATATTTTTTTACATATTAAAAATATACAAGTATACATATCATTCTTATGCGTGTGTTACATATGAATGTGGATGGTTATAAGGACAGAGGAAGGCCGAAAAAGAGATGGATGGACTGTGTGAAAGATGATATGGTAAGAAAGGAAGTAAATAATGAGATGACTGCGAACAGGGATGAATGGAAGAGAAAAACATATTAGGCTGACCCCAAATACATGGGATAAGGGAGAAGCAGATGATGGTGATGATGACATATCATAGTAATTTAAAATTATAATCCCATAATAAGTACTTATAGATAATATCATATCTTTACAGAAACTATCAACGCAGTACCAAAACAAGTTACGATAACAGAAGGTAATGATCTCTACTTACATCTGCAGAACAACACAGAACTTCATGAAACTTGCAAGCTCTTTGGGCCTGATGAGAATGAGATTGTCAATTTTGAATTAGATTCCAATTATCTTGAGAGTTGTGGATTCATTGTTAAAAATGTTAAGGTATCTGATAGTGGCAAATGGGAAATCAGATCTGGTAATGGTATTATTTTTAGAGCATTCACTGAAGTAACTGTCATTGGTAAGCTTCTTTTTACTATATGTATTAGTGTAAAATAAATTTTTGAATTTATTGAAAATATTTTTATAATTATGAAACTATAACCTATGAGTATGAAGATATTTTTGAAACTATGGGAATTTAATAACGAGCTAAGTCCCAACATTTTGGTAGACATTGTATGATCATTTTCAAATAGTATGTAGATAGTGGAGTAGATTTTTTTTATATCTATTACAGAAATAGCAACCAAGCTAATGGTCCACCTGAACGAAACTGACCAACATGAGCAATCTATACAAATATAAAAAATTGACGACTCTGTTTGTGATTTCAAATTAATAGCTTTCCATAAATGAATACATACGGTACTTACATCGAAAAAAATTCTAATATTTTGTCTATCAGAGACATCCCTGTCTGTCTGTTTGCTCTTGCTAATCTCTCCGACTGTGGCACAATATATGTTGTTGGGCAGATTTTTACAGGATTTCCATTTACAGATTGCTAATGCTATAAGGAGTAACTTTTATATTAAAACCTCGTAAAAAAAACCTCGTATACTAGTATACAATATATCTGAACTAAACCGCAATAACCACGCCGTGTGGTATCCGTTATGTTCAGTACTATATCTCATACTTGAAACCGTAACACAGCGAACACAGCTTCCAAACGTGTTTAGCGACTACAAGAAAAGTAACGCAGGCGATTTTGTAAGCCTCGCCGCAGGCACAAATACTCAAACTGAAACCGCGGGCACAGCTAGTCTTCTAATTTCGTCTACAAGCTGCGTGAAGGCGAGCTTATCTAATCATACACGTGTATGTGCTTTGCTGGATTCTAACGCTTTGTAACGATAAGAAGAAAGTGTGGGGATATCACATGTTAGATTAATTTAATTTATAGCTGTACCAGCTACTTCATACGCATGGTATATATATATTCTTCTTAATATTATGAATGCGGAAGTTTTTGAGTATGGATCGATGTTTGTTAGTCTTTCACGTAAAAACTACTGAATAGATTTTAATGAAACATTGCAATAATGTAGCTTATGCTACAGAACAACATATAGATCATAATTTTCACGACGATGAAACCGCGGGCACAGCTAGTAATAATATAACCCAGGATAATTCACACAGCGCTATTTAGTCCTAAGGTAAGGAGAAATTGTGTACTAGACAACTGTTATAAATGTATGATACATGGATTTTTTTTAAATACATGAATATTGTATATGGAAAACACCCAGACCGATATAAACAATCAAACATTCGTAATATTAGTAAGGATGACGCAGACGAAGTTACGGACAGCTACAGCTAGTAGGAAATATTTAGCTTGTTCGCGAATACACGAGAATGTTAATGGGAATGATATAGATTACTACTTTATTGTTATGTGTAATTTATGTATGTATCTACAAAAATAATGTATCTATGTATTTATTTTAGTTGTTTAGTACCCATAACACAAACTCGGGACTAGATGGCGTTGCCTGAATTATCCTGAGATATTACTATTAGGATATCTATACCTTTTCTTGTAAGCTATTTTTGTATACTTACTCATTCATATTTCAGAAAGATGGAACAAACAGTATACGGCTCTCAACTGGGTCAAAGATGGATCAGTAGATATTACTATTGGCCCTGAAGATGCAGTTTATTGTAGAATTGAGGATCCCAGTGGCACTGTCGTGTTTCTTGGATTCGGTGCATGCAAGATTGTATTGGAAAGAACTACTGAAGAACACAATGGTGTTTGGAAAATCAGTTTGACCTTACCAGAAAAAGTTTTGACCGAAGACTTGGAAGTCACAGTAACAGAAGGAAGTATGTGAAATTATACTTTATAGAATTAAAAAGAAAGAAAAAAGAGTCAATTTGTCTACTTAATGGGTTTACATTATATTGTTTAAAGTTTTTGAGTATGGCTGGAGGTTTGTTACTCTTTCACTCTTATGTTCATGTTTCAGTAATACATACAACTTCACATTTTCACCCTTTTGCGATCAACCCCTATTCTTAGAGCGATAAAAGTATTTCAAATTATATGCCAAGACAACGTTTGCTGAATATATTTTACAATTTAATTTTAATTTTATTTCATAAACCTATTGATTCTGTAATGTCTTTCTTTTGTTTATAATTTCAGAATATGATAAGTAAAACATACTTGGAATAATTACATCAAAAGATAAGATTATATGAATTACTAGGTCTTAAATCAAAATAATTACTAATTCTCATATAAATAGGTATCATAAATATCTAAAATCATAAAGGTATGAGATAAATTATTTGTAGGCTTTGTGTGTACACATGTCACAACCATCAGAAATAAGGCGGTGTGCTAAACCGTTAGGCCACTGAAACCGTCGAATTGTTCAAGTGTTGTCATTTTCGGATATTTTCTGCCTGCCATTTTAATAATAATAATAATAATCATTTATTCGGCGTCATAGTACAGAGTCAAAATATAGAAATCTTTTAATATAAAATATTTCACTATGAGCTGGCCTCCACTCAACTGGTGCCGTAGTGTGTCACTGCAGAGCTGATTTTCAGTGGAGCCACTCGAAAAAAAGAAATATTTATTTAATATATATGTACATATGACTACTGCTTCTGTCACGTTCGGGTAACATTTCACTCAATAGACGATTTTTTAAATCTTTGTATAGTATAAAATGAAATCTACAAAGATGAGCTGTATGTTCGCTTATATCTTTTACAATACGCAACAGATTTTAATGCAGATTTTAGATTGCTAAACTCCTTGAATAACTCCATCCCAATGGATGGAGTTATTCAAGGAGTAGAGCCGTGTGAAGCCGTTGGGTAGTTAGCAGTATAATAAATTCCGACTTAGTATTGTTCTCTTTAATAAATATTATTTATTTCGCTTCCAGAACCTGTCCTGACCACCGATGTAGATAGAATCACAGCTATGGAGGGCGACACCGTGACCATGTCATGCTCGATACAGTCCGCAGTCAGGTACTGTTACTTTAGAGCACACAATGGAACTGTCTTCAATGTTTCACCTGGTGAGTACTACGAGTATATATGTAAATACTTATAAATTATTTACATTATTATTAAATATTTATCTCCTGCGCAATAAATCAAATGATTATCAGACAAGATATTTGTCTACTAAATACCTTTTTAAAGCCTACATCCTGTAAAGGAATTTATTTTTATGTTCACAATAGAAATATAAAAAATACAATTAATTCACAATATAATTATTATATAATATTTTAAAGTCTACGTATATTTACGTACATAGGAAATCCTCGACTTACGTACTCGAATTACTTACGTCGTTTCGATTTACGTCGTCAAACTTACTTTTGTTCATAAAGTATGTATATCTTTTGTTATAAATGCAGCTTTTTTTTTATTTTAAGTCCATGTGGAGTCCCTTGAGTTTTACATGTAAACATATGGAAAAACACGACATACGTCGTTTCGATTTACGTCACGTATTTTGAGAACCTAACATGCCGTAAGTACGAGGACTGTCTGTTCGTTCGTTCTTCATTTGTTACGTTCTTTACAAATCTACCTATCTATGGACAAATATATATATTACAGGTAGCATATCGGGGACTATGGAGTACGTAGGTGCAGGTTTAGACGCCGGCGAGTGTGGTATCAGACTCAGGAACCTACTGTCCTCCGATAGCGGTAGCTGGAGTTGCCACGTTGGTTTCCAAGACTATAACGAACCAGAACAAAGGGCAGACTTCGATGTTACTATTGAAGGTAATATTGATTAAATAAAATCGATAAGGTTAATATCAGAACATAAGACCTATGCTAGGTACAAACAGTGTTTCGGAAGTGAAAAGAATCCTTAAAATTCCTCAATTGGCGCCCCTGTGTTTTAGTTCTACATTGATGTTTACTGTAAACTCGCCCATTTCTATCACCAATCAGCTTATTTTAAGTTTTAATAAAATAAATAACCTTGTACAATTAACACAGAGCCATCTAGTCCCACGGCAAGCAGAGCTTGTGTTATGTATACTAGACAACTAATATAAATACAACTAAACACATAACGCATACAAATAACTCTACAGATAATATACATTTAAGTTAAGTGTAAAACGAGTATACGTCCCGACTCCTTATCGAATATACAAGTCACTTAAGCCATGCAGACTACCAAATATGTACAATAATTCGTACAATCATTTTACCGGTATACTCACTACCTACATACAATAAACAATATATTCGAAATTAGATTCGCCAGAGATCCACTAAAATACAAAACCAAAGATGGACCAACACCATTGATTGTAAACAATCGAAGATGTTGGACATTCCAGTAACAAACCCACTACTCACAAAACGTCTATTGTGCGTATCGTCTGTCTGTAATCTCTGAAACGGATGGGCCGATTTTGACGGGACTTTCACTCGCAGGTACTGTAAGTAAGAGTAACTACTTTTATGTTAGAGATTTTATATATTTTAGTAATATAAAAAAGTTACGCCCGGACTAAGTCTCGGGTATCAGCAAGTTAGAAATAAAGTATGTAAAATGCCATAACGCCTGATGTTTTATAACATGCAATACATATTTTTATCTATCGTGTATGCTGATTTGCTTTCGACTTCGTTTTGGATGAATTAAATAAAGTAATATATCTAACAGTTGGCTGGTGTTCATAGTTTAAACCCAATCTAGTTAGAGACTTGATAGTCTGTCATAAGTGTAGGGTTATATTTTATTTTTTATAACTATTTAAATTCAAGCAATTCTACTACATCTACATCATTTTCCAGAAATTTCTCTGACGAAAACATGATGCGATGTATTTAAATAGGTAATTATTTCTGTAGGATTGTTTATATACTGTTTTATTTAAATGTTTGTATACCTTTGTTTAAGATTATCTAATGTCTTAATTACAGAGGCAATGACAGCACGTCAGTACAGTGAGCAGAGCACGCTGGTGGTGGAGGGGCTGGTGTACAACAGCCGACAGCTGGAATACTGCAGATTTGTTCGCATCGATGGACTAGGTTATTTATAATTATAAGAACATAAATAACACTCCGACTCACCGTCTTCTTCTCTCGTATCAATGGTAAACCTAAAGATATTTAGACCAGAACTTGACAACTACAATGGCACAAACGGGAAGTGAAAGACGTGGAAGACGCTGGAGAAAAACAGTACTACAGGAGATAAAACATGGTATGGGACTTAGTCCCACAGTCGCAAGCCTCTTAGGCAGGGATACCTTAAATCAGCAAGTTGTGCCTGCAGTGATCCACCTGGGTACGCAATCAATGAGGTCTTTACAATCATGCCATTGCTAGTCGCTGCCCGGAAACAAATGTTCGGTTAGTCTGACAAAATCACTGGTCTGATTCAAACACTATTACTCGTGTCTAAACATGTGAAATTTTTAACTACCTCTACCTCACATCCACTCTCTGTAAACTTTGCTTCGGTTTTCGTATCGAAGGATGTATGATATGGTAGTAAAATTACAGGATACGGAAGCATTCATTGTAGTTTTCAGAATGGCAAAATATCAAAGGCGTTACAGGAACACGTGAAGACCATGTTTTCAATCTATTCTAATACTGTTCACCGTGGTTGGCCTTTACAGCTTCATCGGGGCAATACGGGGCGAGTCCAGATGATACTCGCCGCGGAAAGACTTATGGAACGGCTGAAGATCAACTCCTGCCTGACGGATACGACTTTAGTCTGATGGTACCACTAATGAGTAGAAATCTTTTTTTAAGGATGATGAGAACGGAAAGATCATCTTGTCTGCGTTAATCTGCAGTAGTGAATGCGGGCGTGATGCTAGTAAAGGATGGTAGGAAGAGGATGAAATAGTAAGGCCCATCGTAGGGATGAATGTTAAGAGTAACGCCGGGCTGATTGACACTATTTAATGCTTCTTGTTTAACCAACATTGAATGTTAAGGTAAATTATTACATTAACATTCAATGTTGGTTCAATAATAATACAATTATATCAATAATATTTTTTATCAAGATGTGACATCAGAGATACTTCCTGACCGGTACACAAGCCATGATTCCCTAGATACTGGTCTGTGTAAAATTCGCATTGAAAACGCTACCAACCTTGAGCACCACCCGTGGAAGGTGGTCGCCAGGATGCTTAGCCAAGAAGTGGAAATATTTCAGAGCACAACGCACAGTATCAGCATGCCAACAGCCGCGGAACCCGGCAATCGTAAGCTTCTACCAGCATTATTAATCTAACTTAACAAATAAGCTACTTATCTATATAGAATATTTCTTCAGAGAATTCTATATTTAAAATAGTCTAAAGATGTAGAAGAGTGGAAACTTGAGACTAGTCTGTACAGATACTACAAAAGTTTTTCAGTTTCCTGTCAGAAAACTGTGGAAAGAAATTTTCTTTCATAAGTACATCACAATGTCCAGACATGTGGCTCATGGTCGAGCGCTGTGATGGCTGGCTCATCCGTCATACTCGGGAACGAGTGCTGCTTGTTGGTGCTGGTATGCTCGTATCACTACGACTGATTTAATCTTATTGTGTATTTATATTTGACCCTAAGAAATTAGTGCTGGTTGATAATTTGTTCACACTTGACTTGTAAAATGTGAACTAAACAACGATTATTTAAAAGAGCAACATACAAGTTTCTTGTTCGTTCTTCTTCTTGATAATTACTCAAAAGTACTTAAATTAAGTTTATTTGAATAAATGATTTTTTATTCTATTTTATTGTACAGTCAGCCTAAACGCCCTGAATGAGTAAAAAGAACGATTTCGGGCAAAGGTGGCTCTAGATAACGCTGTGACGATGTCTAGTTTATTTAATATAATCATATTAATAACAAAATCGTTTAATTTCAGTGAACAATCAGCTTATCTTTTGGATTCCAATGATGTTGCTGATGATCGTGCTGGCAGCTTTGGTTGTGTTGCTTGTACCTAAGAGAAACCGAAAGAGAACTTTGGACAGGATGAACATCATCAGAGACAGCATCCGCGGCAGTTTCCAGAAGAAACCGTTACCGGACCCAGCTCCTCACGCTGGCGTCACGGTGGCATAGTAATTGTGACATCAATAATAGGGCAATATTACTTTAATATGCGATATTTGTAGGTAAAAAATATAAAAAACCTGTCGAGGCAACACTTGCCTGGGACAATTACCAACGCGTACAGTGATTTTAGTTTTAGAATAGTATGTACATATTTATATAGGTTATAACTGCTTATTGATCAAGTAAAATGTTGTTTACATTTCTGCGGTCTATTATTTTACATCTTCATAGTTATTCTCAACGCCTACAGTGACGGATCAAAATACTCCTAATGCGACATATCTTATTATTGTTATTAATTATTAATATTATAAATGCGAATGTTGGGTGGATATTTCTTACTCTTTCACACAAAAACTACTGAACGGATTTTGATGAAACCTTACAGTAATATAGCTTATACATCAGAATAACATATAGGCTATAGAAAGATAAAAAGATATTATGTAAATTGGGCGAAGTATAATAAATAAATTTCAAGTAAGTATGATGTAGACGGTGTTGCGTGGGTCAGCTAGAAAAATTAAGAATCTATCTGAGGCAGACTTAATATGATGTTTGCGTGTATATCTATTTGACGACCTCGGTGGTCTAGCGGTCTAGCACACCGCTTTACATCCGATGGTCGCAGGTTCGATTCCTCGCACGTCACAAACATTTGTATTCATGAGTATGATTGTTTGTGTCGGTCTGGGTGTTTTCTATGTATTTATATCAGTTGTCTAGTACTCATAACACATGCTTTAGCGAGCTTAACTTGGGTCTAGATGGCGCTGTGTGAATTGTCCTGACATTATGAGATTATTATATCTCTGTTTATTGCGTGTACCTGTTTCAGTCGCCAAACACCTTGCTGTGTAAGGCATGAGTGGCAATAAGGCATATAAATGAAATTTATTTGCTTAAATATAGTCTAAAATTTTTTTTTTTCTAAATATAATAGATGTCATATTTTTACAATTATCGTGTCCACTTTGTTTCTCCACGGACACACATGCAAACATACATTTTGAATAATTTTCAAATAACTATATCTAAAACAATGACGCTATCAAATATATGGAAATGAAATCAGAGGATAAGGGGATGACATCTTAGTTCTCCGGAATGGTAAGGGTGGGTGTCATGATTATTTACAATCAGATTGACAGTCATTTGAATGATATTCCAATGATATAAAAAACAGTGCTTAGAAATTAATATTATTATTAATTTTCCCTTAAGTACATGGCTCTCTGCCATTTTAACTAGTAAGCATAAAATTAATTAAATATATCGATTCATCAATCATCTGCTTCTTTCTTATCCTATTTATTTGGGGTCGGCGTAATTAAATACATCGATTATTATAAAGTAATTAAACCACTAATGAATCACTATATCTATTGCTGAAAACTGCAATAAAATCCATTGCATAGTTTAAAAGATACAACGTACAAACTGCAACGGCGACTTTATTTCATACCACAGTATAAGAGAAGTAGATAGAAATAGTATGGGGGCGAAACTTGCATGCCAATACTATGCGTTACAACATATACTCCTTCTATCTGCGTCCCAGTAGTTAGTCATATATTAAGTTGTATAGTAAGTATTAAATAAGATAGATAGTAAATAAGAAAACTGTTATGCTGAATAATTATCCTTATTATTATTATTTCTTAAACTTCAAAAAAAAATCTCATCTCCCCTCTTAAGGAGAGGAGATGGCAACTTACCCCCGGCAGAAGCACAGTCGGCCGGGGTTCAGGGCCCCAGGGAGAGAAACCGGCGTACAATGCGGGCAGAATCTAAGAGCACCGCTCTCTGCATCTTTACCGGGAGTGAGCCGCCTCGGAATCCCAACCGTCTAAGATGTTGTTGTTATTATTATTATTATTATTGTTATATTTCGTACTACATTTGAGCAAAGTCACATTAATTTTGTTTAAAAACATACAAATAGGTCAAAAGATGTGATATTTTATCATCGGTAAGTACTATTTCATATTCTTTAAATTAATTTCTATATTAATTTAATATCTATTTCTATATTAAATTAATATCTATTTTTATATAACTCACATTGTAAATCAAAATGGCTACCGCTACTCTTGTAATGTAATGTAATGTGGACTCCATTTTCCGCAATTAGCCTAGACCGTTGTGCGTGTAGACCCGAGACTACTAACGTAGCCAGCCAAGGTCCTCCCCTCACCGTTCCGAGGATTTGTGTTCGTTGTGTGGCCACTGCTGCGCACTCCAGAATTACGTGAGCCGCCGTTTTTTCGGCTTCAAAGCAGCCCCGACAAAGGGGACTGTCTGTAGCACCGATTGTGTACAGATGTTTGTTTAAGGGACAGTGGCCCGTTATTGTCCCTATCATTATTTTAAGGTTTTGCCTATTTAGGTTTAATAGACGTTTTGTGAGTCGTGGGTTTGTTATTGGAATTGCAACCTTCGATTGTTTACAATCAGGCTTTTGGGTCCATCTTTGGTTTTGTATTTTTGTGGATCTCTGGCGTATCCATGTTCGAATCTGTGAGAAGGGGAGTGGTAGAAGTGGTAGAGGGCCTGCTACCCCCATACCTGAAAAGACCTTAGCCTGTTGATCGTGGTCGTGAGTCTCGTTCTCGTCCACCAGACCAGGGCTCCATAGACCAGCATTGATCTAATCACTGATGTGTATAACCACAGGGTTATTTTCGGCGAGATACCCCGCTAGTCTTAGTACTTCAAGATATCGACGAATTAAAAACCGAACTATTTATAGATATTATTGATATTATAAGTATTTTGCTATAATAATATTCGTTATCATAATCTGCTCGTCTCTGGATATTTTATTGATATAAATTGAATAAAAAATATATATATTATATTACCTAAGTACAATAAATTACAATTTGTTACAGTTTTTGGTAAACATATTTTGTTTCAAGTCCATTAGTTTAATTCTGTCTTGCAGTTAGGGTAGATGTATTGTATGTTGCTTGATTTGTTTATATATTTACAATTTTTACAAGCTTTCCTAAAGATATATTGTTTTTTTCATTATACAAAACTTTTAAAACAATCAAAGAACGTCGTAACTAAATAATTTAAAGTAATGAATAACAAATCGGTTTAATGACAGGAAGAATTATTTTTATTTGGTTGGCTATTTAACTATATAACTACATTTGTTTATATGTGTTGAAAAGTTAACATAGGGAGTATGTGTGTTGGCGATAGTGTTTCTCCAAATAATTCCTTATCATAATCTTTTATGATGTGAAGATAATAATATATTTCTGTTAACATTTAATTTACTATGTGTCAATAATTATCACTTGTCCGTTACATGCTGTAACATGAAGGTGTGGTCGTCTTTGCTAGGAGCTTACCTATTGTGGCTCATAGGTGATTAAACAAATTGTTGACGCTGGATATTTGCCATTTACTGTTGTGTGAGCTACCCGGTAGACATTGATAATAAATATAGTGATGTGTGTGATGACAGGCAATAAAGAGGATTTTATTACTGAGTGATAATAAAAAATGTGCTCCCGACTGCGTTCAGTGTATACGTACCGTATAGAGGTTGACTTGATATACACAGCAATAGGACTATTCGTCGCCATTGCTGAAAATCCCCTGATCATCATTGTCATCATCATCATGATCACCATCCCACTGCGAGCCACTGCTGAATATAGGCCTCTTCCAAGGCACGCCTCTGGGTACGATTTCAGCCACAAGCAGATCTACGACAAAAATGACCAGCCCACAGTCACTTAAACTTTCTGATTCGTAGAACTATGTCGGTGACCTTAGTTCAATCCTTAGACGATCCCCTCACACAATGATAAATTATTAGAGAAATTTAATCTGTTCTAATATTATAAAGAACTAGCTTTTGCCCGCGGCTTCGCTCGCGTTATTCCCTTAGGGGTGAAAGTTATCAAAATCCTTGCTTAGGAGATGCCTACGTCATAGTAGCTTTATGCATGCAAAGTCTCAGCCCGATCGGTTTAAAATTGACAAACTTTCATCCCCTATTTTATCCCCTTGGGGGTAGAATTAATCAAAATCCTTTCTTAGCGAATGCCTACGTCATAACATCTACCTGCATGCCAAATTTCAGCCTGATCTGTCCAGTGGATTGGGCTGTGCGTTGATAGATCACTATATCAGTCAGTCACCTTTGAGTAATATATATTTAGACTAGCTGTATTACCTGCGCCTTCCTCACCCAAAAACTTTCATGCCTTACATCACCCTGTTCCACATATTTTTTTGTGATAAAACATAATCTTTGTCCGTCTTTATAACATAATCTTTATTGATATTCGTACGATATGCAACCTCACCATCAGGATGTAAGCGACTTGTTTTTTAAATACTTTCAATCAACGTAATAACGTTCATTCTAAAAATAAACCTATTAACTCCAGCTGTCTCAGGCAACACGGATATCACGAATATATCTATACCCCTATCTCGAATATCTCATCTATTAACGGAGAGTCAAGGAGATAATAGTGATATCTTAAAATTATGTTTGTTTGCTAAGTACTTAAAAAATAGTCTACGGCCATCTGGCCTAGTAGCCCATTTTTTGTGTCATGTACCTGTATGACACACTGAAAAGTTCTTTTGGTAAGGTACAACACGGTATCCTAGGTATCGATCGCTCAACGGCATCAAATCAGTCGGTAATGTTTTTAGAACAACGAATTTAGTAGTAGTATTTATTACATACATACTTTATTTTTACAGGTGTGGTAAACTCGGACAGTATAACAGTAAAGAACATTATTAGAGATGTTGGTGGTGTATTAGAAACTGCGGTATCTACAGATGGATATGAGAATATAGGATGTTATTTAGATACACCGCAAGGAACCATCGAATTTTGGCCAAATAATAATTCTACCGAACGATATGTACTGAGAGATGGAGTAAAAGCAGTATCTAATTGTTCAGTCGATGTAATGAAATTAACTAAAAATGACACAGGTCGTTGGAAACTATATTTCACTGTGGAAGGGGAAGAAAAGAAATCCCAAATTTACCAATTAACTGTTAACGACGGTTTGTATCATTATTTATTTTCACTTCACACAGTTAATTCTTGAGAAGTCCCACTAATTTTATCATAATGACATGAATTTGTTATATTCACGATTATTATCGTAACGTGCAAATTACGTGTCAAAAATGCTTAGGTGTGAAAATGGTAACAATGGTTTGGTCCATTTTACACCGTTGAGTACACAAATAGGTGTTAGAGAGGAATGGCTGTTCTTCATGGAACATCAAACAAGTGTCATCTCCGTGCTTGTACGTAACTATTGGGCACCCTGGAATGATATTCATTCGTAGTCGCAAGTAGCACTTGGTTACATTTTTCACTAGATAAAAGTGATGATCAGGAGAAAGATTCATATGTATAGTATATAAATGTTAGTGCAGAAAGCTATAATACTTTAAAAAAATTTACTTACGAAGAATCGAAATATTCTATAAATATATTACCGATAACTGATTCTTCTGCTTTATTGTGTATTTACAGACCCAGAAAATCCAATTATTGATGAAAATAGAGGAGTAGATATTTTAGACACACAATTCTTTAATGTAACAATTGGTACGAGTCATGAAATAGTAATTGAAGACCATCCACTTAATACCAAAGAGAGTTGCCATATAAGAACACCAAAAGGATTGCAATATACTATTATGGAAGGTTTCCACATTCCTGGAATTGAGGTGTTAGAAGCAGATCCCAATATGGCTTGCGGTATTATTGTCAATGTCAAAAACGAGGAATTGATTGGCGAATGGGTATTAATTGCCAGGATTGTGAGACTTTTCGATCCAGTGGAAATAAGATTGCCATTCACTATATACGTAGAAGGTAGGTAATTTATGGATATTCTTATTATTTGCTACTTAATTTACTTGTATCGTATCACGTCCACTGATAACATTAATGTTAATTGTTATCGTTCATTACTAAAATTACTCACTTATATCTATCACGTACATTTATCGTTATATGAGATTTTAGAATTTGTATAAATTAGATATTCGCTGCGGGTTCGCTTCTGCTGAAGTATAAGTGAATACCTGTGTCCGCGTGGAATAGACGCCGAACGACGAATTTGCATAGAAACTTTTATCCCCTATTTGATTTTACCCTCTTAAAGGTAAAAATGTTTATTTATCAACAGCCTAAAAAATAGGTTTTGCAGTTTAATGTTGACGATACTTCCATACAACCTTTCTTATTATCCCCTTACAACCCATTTTTCGTATTAAATAGTAGCCTATGTCCTTTCTCAGGGTCTAGACGTGGGTCTGAGTGTTTTCTATGTCTATATGGATGTATTTACAAAAAAAAAGATATCTAAGTATTTTTATCAGTCGTCTAGTACCTATAACACAAGCTCTCTGTTACCGTGTGACCTAGTCGATGGCGCTGTGTTAATTTGCCCGGGTTATATATTTATTTACTTATTATCTTTAATTATTACCGTAGCAGGTACCTACTTATATTAGGCGACAGTTACCGTTTACCATTAGGTGGATCGTCAACTTGTTTCCCATTCTAATTGCATAAAAATAATACCATCTGAATTGTAAGATATTATGGAAGAATTAATATATGTATTTGCCACTTAAGCAACTATCTTTTCTCGCACTTCTCTATGTCTTGAGTAAAGTATACAATGCTATATCGTATATAAAACTTGGTAATTTTATTCCGATTTTTATTACCTATACTATTGCTTTAATATTTAAAGTATCTACCAAATTACAGAATTCTTTGAAGTACCTGTAAACTCAAAAAAAATAATAATTGAACATAAAAATTAAAAAAAAACTTCTAAGTTAGATTACACACACCATGTATTTAACACGCATCCTGTTATTTAATTCTTATAGTCTAATTTTGATCACTGGGTGACCAATATTTAAATAAATTGCTTATTCGACTTTTGTCGAAACAAAATTAATTGTACGAAAGTTTTGTTACGTTCTTTGGTATAAAAACAATAACTGGAAAAATATTCAATTTTGGAAGTTTTTTATAAAGAGAGTACTAATAGTAGAAGGTTAGTAAAAACTCATGAGTAAATCAATATATACATAAGTACTTGTAACTCTAACGCTATGTATGAAATGAAAGGGGCTCGTATCCAGATAATGGATTGTAATGAGGGTAATGACGATTAATTTAAAACATTGTGTTCATAATATTTCAGAGGTAGTCCAAGCAGCACATCAAGAAGTTACTATAACTGAAGGTACGGATCTTTACCTCCGTCTACAGAAACCAACAGAACTTAGTGATTCTTGTAAACTTTACGGGCCAAGGGACAATTTAACCAATGTTGAAAGAGACAAAAATTATAATGATACGTGTGGATATGTTGTCAAAAATATACAACAGTTCGATAGTGGAAAATGGGAAATACGATACGGAATCGGAATTAAATACAGGGCCTACACTGAAGTAACAGTTATAGGTAAGAATTCAAATAATACACTAACTGTACATACGTGTATAGAGTATGTACAATATGATTCAATACAATTTATATATTTTTATAAAGTCTTTATATTGGACTATACTTGACTGATGTGAGTATCAGTTATATTAACAATTTAGAATTTCAACATGCTGAAATTCAAAATTGTTAATGTGCTCACTTGCTCAAATTATCCATAGATTAGTTAAGTTTGCATATACATTAAGTTGAAAATTTTATTTTAGCGGCATGGAACAAAACGACTGCAGATTTAGAATTTGTTTTTGATAGATCTGTTGAAGTTGTAATTGGACCTGATAACGCGATATACTGCAAAGTCGAAGATCCAAGTGAGGATATCATATTCGAGGGCTCTGGGAATTGTACTATTGTTCTGGAAAAAGCTATGGAGCATCACAATGGAAATTGGACTATGACCGTAGGATTTCCAGGAAAAGTAGTCACTGAAGAGTATTTCTTTAAAGTTAGAGTAATTGAAGCAGGTAAATGGTAATTAATGATAGTGGACGTCTTATTGTGACTAGAGTAGTCAGTAATAATTATTAGATTTTTCGTGAAAATTTGGAATGACTGACTTGAGGGCGGCCCACCTGATGGTCAGTCACAGCCATCACTTATATACACAAGCAGCAAGACGTCATCATGACACACCCGTGATAATGATCTATGTGATGCCTGAAATTTCACTTCCCCATCTTTCCCTTCAAACTTCCTACTAGCTGTACCCGCAGTTACATCCACATGAAATAGCATGTGTGTTATTCTTATACATACGCTATATTACAGTAAAGAAATATTAAAATCGTAGTTTCACGAGAAAGCTATATATATTATAAAGACTACCTTGTACAAAATCTACCTCGGTTTATTTTTTGATTAAGTAAGGTGGTTTTTTCTCGTAAAAGATCTTTTTCTCTTTTTTTCTTCTGTCATGTCATGTCAATTGAAATTAAAATTTTAATATTTATACACATATAAATAATTAAAAAAGTATATATAAAAACATATATATATTTCACAGGTCTATGTGTATGTAGGACTTGAAGTGAACATGACAGCGGCTCAACATTATATATAGAATTATGACTCCCAAAATTCCAATTACTATGCAGCAGATAAAAAGCGTTCTATTGTTGTCCTCGTGTATGATTTGATTTTGCGATTGTATTCTCTACCTGGCTGTCAAATTCCTTAGTAATTTACTATGGTACTTTCCCATTTTAAATAGAATATAAATATGCGTAATGAATTTGTGTACTCGAATGTATAACTAAGTATTGTGAATTATTAAATATTCTGTTCAACTTTTATATAATTAATATTAGCTAATCTGCTGTTTGAATAACATGTACAATCAAATATAATGAATTTGAAATTATGTGTAAATTTGTTCGTAAAAATATAGTAATAGAAAATTATTGCTAATGTCCTATTAAAAAAAAAAATAACGTATGAGAATAATAGTTTTGTTCTAGAATTATAACAATACATTTGCTTATTTAGCGAAAATACAATTTTATCGAGCATACAATGTTGTAAGTAAGGTATGAGTTTATTAGTTATACTTAGCGATAGCGATTTGTAAGTTTAACATTGTTATTGAATATTAAGAATAGGTAAAAAAAACATGCTTATTCCACTAAAAATATAAAGTTACAATATAACATAAAAATAGTAAGTATAGTATTGTCATTGATCATCGAACCGTACTGGTTTTTTAACTAGTCTACCACTCCGTGTCCTTTTCGCGGAGTCGGTATTTGGTTGTGACTAATATTGCAAGGAGCGGTAGTATTTTTCGATAATATGTCTTGCGTAATATTATCTGAAATTGTATCGGTTTCATTTAATATATAAGCTGGTTTAAGACGATCTATAGAAATCGAAACATTATTTCTGTTATATCTAATATAAACACTTTATTATTCCTTTGAATGACACGGTAAGGACCTTCGTATGGTGGTTGCAAAGGTTTGCGAACTGTCATTCCTAACAAAAACATAATTACATTTTTGTAAGTCATCGTGTACAAATATTGTACGAGAATCGCGTAAGACACGCGTTTTCGGCTTACAACTATTAATAATATTCCTTAACTTATCTAAATACGTACCTTCATTTTTATCGTGTATGCGTAGGTCTGTCCCGTAAAAATCTCCAGGCAACCTAAGTGATGATCCATACACAAGATTTGCTGGTGTTACAGAACTATCGCTTTTGCATACGTTACGTAAACCTAACATTACTGTGGATAACTCGTCAACCCATTGCCCTTTAGAACTAAGGCGTGCTGTAAGAGAAGTTTTTAGCGACCTATGCCATCTCTCTACCATCCCATTGCTCTGTGGATGATAAGGAGTAGTACGTTGCCTTTTGATACCTAACAATTTCATAAGCTCTGTAAATAATGTACTTTCGAACTGACGACCCTGGTCACTGGTAAGCTTAATTGGACAACCGAAACGAGCGATCCAGTGGTCATAAACGTTTTTAGCGACCGTTTCAGCGGTCATATCTTTAATTGGTATGGCTTCCGGCCATTTAGTAAATCGATCTATCATTGTTAAACAATATCTATAACCTTCGTCGGTTATCGGCAAAGGACCTATAAGGTCTACATGAATATGTTCAAATCGATTACAGGTATCAAAATTACCTAATCCTGCTATAGTATGACGACCTATCTTCGATTTTTGACAATGTATGCAGGTCTTAGCCCACAAGTTAATGTCGCGATTCATACTAGCCCATAAATATCTCTTAGTCACCTTTTTTCGTGACGTACGAATACCTTGGCTAATGTCATGATATAGAATCGAAAGCTAATCTCCTAAATTTTTCTGGTAAATAAGGCCTACATTCGTTATTAATAACATTACAATAAATAGGTAAGTCACAGTTAATATGTAAACAGTTTTGTAATTTATACTCGTGTTGGTATCGTGTAACAACTGCAATAACATGTCGTCGGTTTTCTGCGAATTCGCTAGATCGGCATAGTTGATAATTGTTGGACAGTTTATTGTTTCTATACGTGACAATGAATCGGCGACTATATTATCGTTTCCTGTTATATGCCTAATATCATTAGTAAACTCACTAATGAAAATTAGTTGTCTTGTTCTTCTAGGTGTTTCGTTATTATTCCCTAATTTATCAATAGCAAAAGTTAACGGTTTATGATCTGTATATATAATTAATTTACGACCTTCATGCATATTCCTAAAATGTTTTACGGCCATATAAATAGCAAGTAACTCGCGGTCGTAAGTGCTATACTTTTGTTGCGATGGCATTAATTTTTTTGAAAAGTATCCTAACGGTTTCCAATTATTATTCACTCTCTGTTGTAATACAGCGCCTACGCATGTACTAGAGGCGTCCGTCATAAGCGATAACGGGACGTCTGGTAGTGGATGCGATAACAAAGCAGCGGTTTTCAAACTTTGCTTACACGTATCGAATGCTTGTTCTGCTTTATTAGTCCAGTTAATTTTTGTCTTATCTTTACGTTTAGCTGTGCTTAAATAATTATTTAATTCGGACTGATATTCTACAGCGTGTGGTAAATGACTTCTATAAAAATTGACCATACCTAAAAATCTCCTAAGTTGATCTACTGTTTCCGGTTTAGGAAATTCGGTGATGGCATTGACCTTATCTTCAAGAGGTCTGATACCTTCACTCGAAACCTTGTACCCTAAAAATTCTACTACTTGTTTACCAAACTCGCATTTCGAAAGATTAATAGTAATGCCGTACTCGTTAAAACGTTGAAATACTGATTTTAAATGCTTGCGATGTTGTGTTTCGTTTTCGCTTGCAATGATGACGTCATCAATATAGCAAAATAAAAAATCTAAATCTTTGAGAACCACTGTATTCATATATCTTTGAAATGTCTGCGCGGCATTTCTTAGACCAAAACTCATGCGTGGGAACTCGAAAAGTCCAAAAGGTGATGGCGGTTTTTTCGATATCTTCCTGAGCTACAGGTATATTGTGGTAGGCTCTAGAAATATCCAAATGACTGTACCACTTCTTACCTGCCAGCAGATATGTGAAGTCCTGCAGCCGGGGCAATGGGTAGCGGTCCGGCTTTGTAATAGCGTTAAGGCCTCTGTAGTCACCACAGGGTCTCAAACTGCCGTTTTTCTTTGCCACGACGTGTAGTGGACTTGCCCACTCGCTCTTCGATGGCCTGCAGATTCCCATTTCCTGCATAATCCTAAATTCATCTCTTACCTTCGCGTATCTATCCGGCGGCAAAGGTCTGGCACGCGCGAATACTGGAGTTCCAGAGGTCTCTATGTGGTGAAATACAATACTCTTAGGGTTAATTTCATTAAAATTTGCGGGTTTAGTTATGTTAGGATAATTACGTAATATGTCGCTATATACATGATTCTCGTCAATAGTTTTAACCGATGGCTCACGACAATTAGTTATACTACCAATAATATTTAAATTTGTTACACTATCTATCAATCTTTTGGTACTTAAATCTACCACTAACTTATGATAAAAAAGAAAATCAGCACCTAAAATGGGCTGTTTAACGTCGGCAATTACAAATATCCATCTATATGGTCTTCTTAGGTTTAGATTTAATATTAGAGTATGCATACCATATGTGTTTATTACTGAACCGTTAGCTGCATATAACTTATATTTCTCACCATTATTTGAGCACTTCGAATATTGTTTACTTATTGGTAACACTGATATATTAGCTCCTGTGTCCACTAAAAATTTTAGTCCACTGTGTCTGTCAGTTACACAAAGGCGGTTATTACTGAAATTTGCCGTACAGTCGTGCCGCAGCCTGCACGGTATTTAGTTTTCCATTAGTTTTATCCTTCCAGTTACATGGTTTTATACACTTCGTTGCATCTTCTTTGTAACGAAAATGATAAAAACATAGCCAGTCAGGATTGTTTTTGTCGCGTCGCAGAGATCTTCCCTGTTTGACCTTGAACGATCGCGGCTCCTGGAAGACCTATGCGGCTGGAAACTTGGCCTTGACGCCAGCCTATTGACCTGTAGTGTCAGTTTCGCTATTTGTTCTACTAGCATATCTGTAGTAGTGGTCTGGGCAGTATGTGATATTTCAGCTACTTACCTTGTCTGCTATGACTGCTAGCTTCTCCATATCCGTTATTCACTCATAGTTAAAACTGCACGCACGTGAGCTGGCAGATGTCCTGTCCACAATATTCTTAATGTCTCTGAAGGAAATCTATCGCTAGCTAGGTTTTTCATCCGACGGTATAATTGCGACGGTTTTTGGTCCCCCAATTCTACTTCATTGAGTAATTTCTGAATTTGTCTGTTTTCAGACTCTTCATAAATGTTTATTAGATCTTTGCTTAAGTATTTCGTATTTTTTTGTGTCGGGAGGATTTAACAATATGTCACGTACCTGTCCGATTACTTCTCTGTTTAATTTCGACGTGACGAGCTGATATTTAGACTCATCTCCGAGCTTCTGGTTGGCAAGTGCGGTTTCCAGCTGTACAAACCATAGCCTGGGTTGTTCTTGCCAGAATTCGGCTATTCTTGAAGATAAGCTAATCTGCGCTAGCTCGGAAGTTTGTTCTTGCACTGCTTGTATAGCTGATTGTGACGTTTGTGGATTCATTATGCTAGTATGAAGTAGTATATAGTAGTATATAATATATCGTAAAGTTCACATAAATTCGCGGGTCACCACTTTCACAAGTCTATGATATCACTTATGTACTATGAATGGAAGGTTCTCCTATCCATATATATCGCGTGTTCCGGTGTGGTGTCATGAGCTTTACCAAATGAAAATACATTTATATTTTATCACGATTGTAATGCGGCGATACGGGACTACATCGTATATCTGACTGGGGAGGGACGTGTAGGAGGTGCGCTGTGCCACGCGATGTAATTCAATCTCTGTATTAACAATATGTATGTGTGTGTGCATATACCTACATATATATATATATATACATATAAAGTAAAATAAAATAAATATTAATACATATATAGACTTCTGTAAACTGTTCTGTAAACAACGCATGCCGTGGCAGCCAGTAATTAAGTCAACACTATAGTGTAAGTCACAGTTAGGTATGTAAACATGTTATTATCACTATTCAGGTATATATACCTGAACTTTTTGTAAGTGATAATAATTGTAACCTCATAGTGTATGTCTTGTTGGTCGCTCATATTAATAAATGTTACAGAACCGAAAGCCACAGTTACTACTTTCGTCGAGATGCAACAAGAAGAAGTTATGCTGAAATGCTCAGTGCCAACGGAGTATGAAGTAAAAGCATGCAATTTCCGCAAGCCTTCTGGTCGCGTTGTCTTTGCCTCTCCAGGGGTGGGAGAAAGCCATTACACTTTCTATGGCGTAGGAACAAGGTAAAAACACAACGTAATAGTCCTAGCGTTAGCGCCAGACGCCTTCAATATTCTTTGTTTATATATAACATACTAATATATAAACAAAGAAATGCGGTGCTGCGTGGTGATATTTATTTCATATAATTGGAATAGATAAATTGTATTAATTAATGTAAATAAATATGTCCGTATTAGTCATGAAGCAAGGAACACATAAAATATTTACATTACTAAGTTTGTGAAATTGTAATGGGTAATCTCTCGGTCTACTGAACCTATATTGAGAATTATTTTAGTTTTGAATAGCATGTTTAATATATATATATTCATATATATTCATAATAATGAAAAAGGTAACAAAAAACGGTAATATATAAGTATTGTATCTTTTTAGTATGGAATCGAAACCAAGAATTCATGACTGTGGTTTAAAAATTTCAAACCCTGAAACTTTTGAAGATTTTGGTATGTGGCGGTGCGCAATTGAAACTACAAATGACACATACTACGGTTTTCTGAGAGTATATCCATATCCAGAAGTGAAGGAGCACCCTGAAGTGTCTGCCTATATCATATCGGGTAAGAAGTCCTAATTAACTACATTTAATAATAATAATAAATATAATCTCAGGACAATTCACACAGCGCCCTCTAGACCTAATTTAAGCTATCCATAGGTGGTGTTACGGGTAGGTACTAGATAACTGATAAATACATAAAAAACACCCAGACCGATACAAACATTTATACATATAAATACAAATATTTGTGCTGTGCGAGGAATTGAACCCGCGACCATCCGAAGTAAGGTGGTGTGCTAAACCGCTAGACCACCGGGGTCGTCACATTTTTATTTTCATATATATTGCTTGAATGCCTATTAAAAAAGGAAATATATATTTTTTTTTTGTAACTAGAACTGAACTGGAATGATTTAATTGTAGTTACATAAGATGCATTTCTTTTTTTTATCAACACAAGCTGACAGCCATCCTAATAGATAGCAACCGTCTCCGAGATTTATCCGTTGCCGTGATATTTTCATCACGGATATTTCATCGTCATTCGACCCCTGCTATCCTTCATGCGTCCTCATCACTCAGGGTAAAGGTATCATGCCTCTGTGCTCTGTAATTTAACTGCTAACTAATCGATCTAATCAGAATACAGCTTACAAAGAGCGTTGTAAAAATACGGTACGACAGAAGACATGTACAAAATATACTTATGGTCTAATGAAATAAATATTATAAATTCAAATTCAAATTCAAAAATCATTTATTCATGTAGGACATTATTGCCGCTTATGAACGTCAAGTTTTTACATTATATTTTTTTTCCCTACCGTCCATTTCGGTATATAGATCCAATTGAGAAGAACTGGCAAGAAACTCAATTGAATTACTTTTTTTTTAAAAGCCAGTTTATTTACAATGCATAGGTATTTATATGCGTGTCTATGTCTAACTTTAAATGAAAATTCCGAACATGAAAACTATTGCCATGCACGCTCGTCATTCAAGTAATCGTTTAGTGAGTAATAGGCCTTGCTCAGTAAATATGATTTAACAGATGTTTTGAATTTATTTATGGGTAATTCCAATATATCCTTTGGTATCTTATCATAATTTTGTATACCTATTCCCATAAAAGACCCCTTGACTTTTTCTAAAAGATACTTGGGAACAGCAATTATTGTCTTTAAATCTAGTATTAATATTATGAATATTGCTGTTTTTGGGAAATAAGTCAAGATTTTTATGAACATATAGGATAAGAATTGGTTATTTAGTTTCGGAGTTTATTCCTAAATCATTCCTACCAACATTACAAGCGCAAAAGTTTGTTTGGATGGTTGAATAAATATTTGATAATCTTTCTCGCAAAGCTACTAACTAATTATCAAGAAAATCCGCGAAAGCTATATCTTTTATGTGGAAGTCGTTTTATCTATAGTATACTAGAGATATTTGGATATCATTATATATTATATATATGTACATGAAGCAAAAACTTTGTAGCCCTTTTTACGCACATTGTGGGACGGAGTATGCAATTTCACACACTTATAGTATATACAGAGAAGGAGTACAAAATACATTTTTTTTTAAATTATGCATAAAAATATATTAACTCAACAAGAAAAATAATAATAATAATGCCTGTATAAGACGTTAGGTGTTACTTATAAATGTATGCAACCTCATTTTGCTATATTATATAATTTTTAAAAAAAGAACACAGAACACTAATTTTAATTTAAACTTGTCATTCTGAGCTAATTGATTGGAGGGAAAATACAAGATCCTTTACATGAGTACAAAATATTTGTTTTATTTTCAAAAGAACAAAAGGATAGTACAAACAGTAGTTAGTGTATATCTAACTACAATGTATTTGAGAAACACGCTTAGAAGTACAGTCATTGACAATAGAACCTTAATAATTGTTCAATGTTATAATTTTAATTTAAAAACGATGTTCTTGCAATATATTTATGTGGTCGTGGACGGCGGTTATTATTTTATATATTATATGTATAAAGATAATTAACAGGTTTATATTCCTATGTGTTAATACATGCATGTGTTTATTTTGTTTAGAACCAACCCTCGTCACTGTCCCTAACTACCGTACCATCGAAGCTGTGGAGGGTGACACAGTAACGATGTCATGCTCAATAGATTCAGATATCCAGTACTGTTTCTTCAGATCGCCCAACGGAACCATTTTTAGTGTTACATCTGGTAAGTCATTGGGTATTCCAATGATATAGGTACTCATACTAACTAACGATTATTTTATGCCATCTTATATATAATGCTCTAATTAAATATTATTAAAAAGCAGTTCTCTAAAATAAATTTATAATTTAAGACTAAATAGCTTATTTTTGCATAGTATGAAATAAAATATGAAATAGAACAGTCTGTTCTCTTAGATCTTTTAAACTACGCAACGGATTTTAATGCAGTCTTTTGCAATAGAGTGATTCGAGAGGAAGGTCCTTACTAATATTATAAATGCGAAAGTAACTCTGTCTGTCTGTCTGTCTGTCTGTCTGTCTCGCTTTCACGTCAAAACTACTGAACCGATTTAAATGAAATTTGGTACACAGATAGTCTAGACCCTGAGAAAGGACATAGGCTACTTTTTAATGCGAAAAAAGGGTTGTAAGGGGTTAAAATTGGGGATGAAAGATTGTATGGAAGAATCGTCATTTTTGAAGGTAGAAGCTTGAAACTTATTTTTGAGGCTGCTAATTAAATATAAATAAATATGACATACAAAGTTTTTAAAAATTTTACCCTTAAGGGGGTTAAATAAATTAGGGGATATTTTTTTTATGTAAATTCGTTATTATTGAAGCTAGAAGATTGAAACTTATTTTTGAGGCTGTTGATTAAATATAAATAAATATAACATACTAAGTTTGTATAAAATCTTACCCTTAAGGGGTAAAATAAAATAGGGGATGAAAGTTTTTATGTAAATTTGTCATTTTTGAAGCTAGAAACTGATTTTTGAGGCTGTTGATTGACTATAAATAAATAAGCCTGGAAATTTTGTAAAAATGTTAACCTTAAGGGGGTAAAATAAAATAGGGCATGAAAGTTTTTATGTAAATTCGTCATTTTTGAAGCTAGAAGCTTGAAACTGATTTTTGAGGCTGTTGATTGACTATAAATAAATAAGCCATGAAATTTTGTAAAAATGTTACCCTTAAGGGGGTAAAATAAAATAGGGGATGAAAGTTTTAATGTAAATTCGTCATTTTTGAAGCTAGAAGCTTGAAACTTATTTTTGAGGCTGTTGATTAAATATAAATGAATATGACATTCAAAATTTGTATAAAATTACCCTTAAGGGGGTAAAGTAAAATAGGGGACGAAAGATTTTAATTTAATTCGCCATTATTGGAGCCAGATCTATGAAACTTTTTTATTGAATTTAGTTAGTTTATTAAATACCTTACTAATATTATAACTGTAAAAGTAATTCTGTCTGTCTGTCAGTCTCACTTACACGCCAAAACTACTGAACAGATTTAAGTGAAATTTGGCACACAATTAGTCTAGATCTTGAGAAAGCACATAGGATACTTTTGGATGCGACAGAAGGGTTATAAGGGGTTGAAAGGGTACATGCCATGCATACGAGGTTGTCCGACCTACGGTTCCGGCTGGGTGTGACTGGATGTCGCATCCTAGAAGTGCCAGGCGCCGATACCGGCGACAAAGCGAACTCACTAGCTGCAAGTTAGGTTAGTGATCTTGCCAGTAGAAAAAGTCCGGGTCACCAGGCCGGAGAAATCAGCTGAGCTGAGACTATGTGACCTGGACGACTCGGTAACATCTGAGAACGTCGTTGCCGCGAGTGGGAGGATGCGCGGATACAAGCATACAGGCGGGCGAGGTCCGGTGCACTCCTCCGGCGTGGGCTCAAACTGGGTGCGATGCCCGGTTGCAGCAGCCTAAACCATAATCCCGGCGGGTCGGATTAAGGTAAGGTGCTTGCTCACGGGGCACGTAGGCCAACGGTGCACTGCAGGGGAAGACTGCAGCGATAGGTGCTATCGCTTGGTCAGGGCGGCCACAAGACCGCGAGATGTGTCGCGCCATCGCCACGTTGCTGGTACTGCGCTGCGGCTAACCGCAAGTCGGACCATGGAGTCGGTAGCACAAAATTGTGTCGCTTGCCAAAGCCAGGCCGCAGCGCAGGTCACCGGCGGGAGGGGAGGATTCGATGTACACCTGAGTCTATCAGCGTGGCCATCGAATCCATATTTGACCCTAGGGTGGAGGATTGTTAGGGCGATCCGAAGCTCACAAGGGAGGCATTACGGTGGCGTGCAGAGGCTATTCCCTGCACGCCTAGATGAAAGGTCCCTTCAATGGGAATCTTGGAGAATGCATATGCGATCCTATAGCTACGGCGACATGTTCGAGGAGGAATAGTCGTCAGGTTTTTGGCCGATATGAATCCGGCAGTCCCCATTTGTCTGGGCCTCTATGAAGATTTTTTCCTGACGTTAAAAAAACACGGTTGTACGTAAGAATCGTCATTTTTAAAGCTAGAAGCTTGAAACTTATATTTTGGGTTGGTGATGATTGACCAACCTAAAATATAAGATGATGAGATGATGATTCATAGTTTGTAATAATTTTACCTTTAAGGGGGTACAATTTTTATGTAAATTCATGACTTTTTAAGCTAGAATGATGAAACTGTTTTCATTGGCTTTTTTGGGTTTATTTATTAAACACCTCACTAATATTATAACTCTCGATCTCGCTTACATGCCAAAACTACTGAACCGATTTAAATGAAATTTAGAACATATAATCTAGAAGGCCCTGAGAATGGATATAGGGTATTTTTTAATGTGGAAAAGGGTTGTAAGGGGATTGAATGGTGCAAGGTTGTATAGATATATCGCCATTTTCAAAGCCTGAAACGGATTTTTAGGCTGTAGATTAAATATAAATAAAGAAAAATGGGTTGTAAGGAATTTAAAAGAGAGTCAAATGTTTACATGCAAATATTGTCGTTTTTAAAGCTAGAAGCTTGAAGTTTAATTTTTAGCCTATTTATTAAATATATATTAAGAAAAGAAGTTATAAGGGGTTGAAAGAGTTATGTATGTTAGTTATGTATGGAAGTATCATTTTTGAAGATGAAATGATGAAACTTTTTCATTAGGCTTTTATTGGGTTAGATCATTACATATTTTTTTCATTATTTAGTCAAGTTCACTATTTTACGCGGACGAAGTCGCGGGTACAGCTAGTATTTAATACATGTACACACATGCGAAGCCGGGCCGGATAGACAGTTAAAAATAAAATTATTTTATTTCTTATTTCGATATTTTTGTTTAGTTCAAGAATTTACATTTGACTGAATTAACAAAAAAAAATTATAACCTTCACATAGCACCAGATGGGCTGTCGGCATGTTTGCCATCCCAGTGACTAAAACTAATTATTCCAGGCACAACATCAGAGAATTGGGAGTACGTTGGGGCCGGTTTGGATGCAGGGGAATGTGGTGTCGCGTTCAAAAACCTGTTGGCTTCTGACAGTGGCACATGGAGTTGTCAAGTCGGTTTGCATGACCAGCCCGAGCAAACAACAAACATATCTGTTTATATACACGGTATGATAAAAACAATTCTCATACAAGAACAAAACGATTTTCTTGGGGTAACTCAAGAAAACTTACTAAAATTCTAAAAGAGCTTCTGTCTCCCTTCCGATCGATACCCCGTCCAATACAAACCTAGATCGAATTACGGTGGCCTGAGCTGAGGTTTGAATATATCAGGAATCAATGTGAAAATATCAGGAAGTTTCTACAGTTATAGGAAGAACTTGGCTACCTGCTTTAGTAATCTACATTCCTGATAATAATATGGTAAAATTGCGAGGCTAAATGTCCATTTTATATTTACAAAAGCTATTTTCAGTAACGCATTGTGTATTGAATATTCATCTCGCATGGAATCATTTTATTAATACGTGAAGCAAAAACTTTGACGGAAGAGTATGAAATTTCGCACCCCTTTAGTTTATTATTAAGGAGCAAAATACTAATATTATAAAAAATATGCATACAATACATTAAATCAATAAAAAAAAATATTAAACACATTACCATGTATCTCGTACATACCCATAGAAAGTACTTGACAATTGTCATGATATATAATGTCATGACAATTGACAATTAATGTTCAAACATATAATTTAATTTAATTATGGTCGAATTTCGACCGTTGAGTGACCACAGTATTGAAAATTACATGACCGAGGTAGACTTTGTAATAAGTTGTTAGCGTGGGTAACTCTGTGTTACCTGTTTCAATCGCGAAGCAGCTTTCTTATATAGCAGTGAATGTGTATGAAGGTACAATACCTCAATTCCCTGGAATGGCAACGCATATCCGTTGTACTGTTTATATTTATAAAGTTCTATATGATTTAGCTTTGACTTTGATTATACACCAGCAAATGTTCATTTTCAGAGGCGATCGTGGCGTATCAGACGAATGACCCGAACACAGTCATGGTACATGCGGAAGTGTATCTCAAACGTCCGCTGGATTATTGCAGATTTGTACGCAGTGATGGTTTCGGCAAGTTACATATTTTTTATTGAGTAGAACTGTATGCCCGAGTATTAAGAATTACGAGGAATGTCAACAGGTGCTGCTTGTAGGAACTGATCTGTTCTGATAACTATGACTTTTTTTTATATATTTATACAAATTTATTTTATACTAAAGTATCTATTCATTTATTTAGCCAGCATTGCTATTTATCACAAAATTCTTATAATTGTAATTTTGAACAAAATTTATTTAAAAAAGCTTGCAAGTTACTTGATCATTCTTATTGTGATGACTCTTATTCCGAATGAGTTAAATAATAAAAAATATGACTATTCAAAAGTGCTTATATTAAGTTTATTTGTATAAAGATTATTTCTATTCTATTCTCTTTATTTAGTAGACAATTAATTTAAGAAATTTTAATTACATTGATTCATTCTTTATACTGTATGATTTTGCCGTTTTCGGTTTTAGCACTATTATATGGCACATAATGGAACGGTATAGTTATGCACTAGTGGGTTTTCAGTTATAGTAGATTTTTTTTATTTCATTTTATTTGTTTTACTGAGATTATTAATTGCTATTTACATATTGACTTCAGCTCCGATTTGATACAGTAGAAGTTTTCGTAGGGCTAATTGTATTTCACTGATTGTGAGAGGTGTATATTATATATACATATATTTACATTATTTATATATTACATGGTATATATATACAGGATGATAGGTTTATTATGAACTCAGGCTAGTTACCCCACCGTGACGAATTAACTGGCTATTAACCATGATGATTTCCGCGTGGAGGTCAACCTCACATGGTACATTGATAGCAATAGGGATTAAGTTACCCATTACTAAAAATCCCCAGCCACCTCCGATTTTAGCTTTTTGCGACAATGAACGTTGCAATGATTTTATTTCGTTTCAGGTTTTTCATCATCAAATCTACCTGCCAATTATAACACTTACAATTCATTAGACAATCTAATGTTGACTAGATATTGTTCGCTTCATATCAGAAAACCCACCATATTGGACCAGCAGCCATGGACAGTATTCGGCAGGATCAGGGGACTATCCACGGAAATTCAAGGACGCTCTAAAATTTTGAGATCAGAGTCTCCAGTGGCAGGTAATAGAAATTTCTATAGTGTTCTATAGGATAGTTATAGGCATTGTCAATTGTCGACGTCATAGTGAACACAACACTTGGCATAACCCATTGTTGAACCCAAAGTAGCAGGGTACCACTTTGCATTAGGTAGACTGTAGGTGGTCTGCGGTTGTACTGCTGCCCCGATAGCGTAAACCATTAGTGTAGGCGGGTGCACTATTCCATTATCATCAAAAAAGAAACCGATTTCAACTGCCAACCAGATTGCTTTGGAAGTTGGTTGGCAGTTGTAATGTGCAGGCAGTGAATTTACAGGATAAAAGGCATGACGCCTTAGTCCTTTGGAATGCATGAGTGTTATCATGGGTGTAGCATAATAACATGATGTCGGTAGTGCTGTTCATGTAGGTATATAGGCTACGGTGAGTCCATAAAGTTGTTGCTATTCAGTTATAGATAATTTCTAATATAAAAAGTAATTTCTCTTTCAGTGAAATCTTACACACTATGGATTATGTCACTTTGCCTAATTAGCATACTTTTCACGCTGGCTCTGATGCTTATCCCGGAGAACAACCGCCGCAGATCGATTCGAGTAGCGGCGTTTGTTAGAAACAGTTTCCGTAAAAGCTTCCAGAAGAAATTATTGAGTGACTCCTCCACTGCTGTTACCACACCTTCTTCATAATGTTATATTTAATTTGTAATGCTCCCATGTGAAGCCGAAGCGAATCACATGTATTCTATAAATATAATTAATGTGTTGAAATACTACTGTCATTGATCTAACTACGGCTATAATATAACATATATAACATATAACATATAACGGCGATAACTATAAAACAACAAGAATATATAAAGTAAATAAATCAAAAAATTTACATTCTATGACTGAACCAAGTACTTTCCAGTTTTATTTCAATTATACCATTTTTAATAAACAATAGTGAATGTCTTTTATTATTTTGTATCCAAATTAATAAACAATTATAAAAAATTGTACATTTTTAATATTGTCTATTATTTGTAGAGTAATTCCTTTTATTTACTTGCAGAAAAATAAACTTATATTTAATTTATATATACTTACTATGAAATAGATAACAAAAATAGACCAAGTATCTTAGACATTATTACTTGGTCTGTTTTTGTTATATATTGACTTAACTGTAATATTAATTTATATATAAATACTAGTTACCATGACAATAATACCAGACTAAGGTAAAAAGACCCTGGCATTGTGGCGGCTAGGAGGAATGCCATGGTGTTTTTATTGAGTAGGAATCATTCTAGGGTAATAAAAGTAACGACAAATGGAGTACCCGCACGAACTGGTGACTAAATCAAGTGGTACTCGTTACTACGGTACTAGTTACTTTTAGTACATCATACTAATTGTACTTTCAAATCCAAAATATCTTTATTCGTGTAGATCTATTACAGACTCTTATGATATGCCAAATATACCGTCAGTTCGGAATGATTTTCAGATGAGTAGAACTAACAAGAAATTCAGCTCGTATTCTTTTCAAATAAATGTTGTACATGTTTACAATAATACAGATTTATTTTTAAATTCGAATTTGGGAGAATAGAGTGACTACCAGCATACCAGTTATTGCACAAGCAAATAGTCTAATCAGTGTTCGTTTGTCGTTCGACCAGTCCCCACAAGCAGCACCCGTTCACGAGTATGACGAATGAGCCAGCCATAATTGCACTCAACCAAATTAAAGGGAGCACATTCACCCGGCCCGCCAACTTCTGAGCGTTAATAACCAACGTTACCTAGGTACCATGAATTAACTGTGTAGGAGTCACAGTACCAGTCCATGAAGGATTTTCCCATTTAAAAAAAAAGGGGGAAAGAAGTGATATGAAATGTGTGCCCAATTTTATTCGCATTCGGCGAGTAATTTTTTCGAGAAATAATAACCATCCGTTAGGTAAATATTTCTAAACTATCTCTAAATTAATATCCCTGAACGGGGTTATGTAGCGAACTCTGAAGAGCCCGAGAGCACGGTTAATCTCCGTAGGTCGCAGATACATAACAAAACAAACCATTCATTATTCTAGATTACGTCCATTCATCTATTCTCGGAAAAATTATTCTTAATAAATACATTGTTACTACTATAATTCCAGATAGCTGTTAATGATATTAAAATTGTGGACTTGCCTTCTCGTGCACACTCCCAATATTTTACTGTTATCGATTGAATTAGAGCTATTTGGCAGTTTCTATATAAAATTATATAAAGTACACTTGTACGACATGTATTTAAATTAAAACACAGCAGGCAAAATTCTTTATCATGAATGGTATGTACAGGAACTTTAGTAACGTAATAAAACACAAAACAATCATTCTTACAATTTTTATCTGTTTGTTCGTATGTGCGCGATAATCTCATAAACAGTTTATCCGAGTTGAGTGCGGTTATCACTAACATGTTGTAGTACAAAAAAACACTTATACATCTACGAAGCCGCGAACTTACATAGAGTAGATTAAATAAATAAAATATTTTACTATTAATGTAATAATATTATATTTAATCTAATCTATATTGTATTTATCATTATGCTGTATTACCGGGAGGTTGATGAGTATTTTCACAAGGAAATTTATCTTTAAAATTAATTATTAATATCTGTTAACGTCAAAGGGATAAAGTTCTAGATAGTATAAGTAGGGTTCCGTATACATATTTACCAATCCTACCGACCCACTTTGACGTCGCACGGATGTACTTTTATGGGACTGAATTCATATTGTTGATGTAATAAAACATTTGTTTATCTGTTACTTTATATTTTCTCTATATTATAGTTTGCGGACTATAGAGTTTGTAAAGCACCTGATCATTTTGTCTATTGTGATGGATTGCTAAATCAATGATCTGGAGAATAAAGATATAATAGGTTCTGGGACAGCAGGTACATGGGATGAGTGGATTTATAGATGAATGACACTTTCTATTCGATCTACTAATTATATATATTCTATTATATAAAGAAATAAAATATTTTAGTAAATTCAGAAAGAAAAATATAATGTCACTTTTTGCAATAATCTTAGGAACTAACTTTCAAAATGTTATAATACATTACTTTTTAAATATAAAAAACTAAACTAAAGAGGTTTCACAACACTATGCTTGTGTTCGATTTGTGCTTGATGATACCTATAAAATTGTGTTATTAAAAACTGTATTTGTCTCAATTTCAACAATAAAAACAGAGTTACTTCTTAAAGTAGTATTATTTTAGTTAATTCCTATCATTATTGTTAATTCCTATTATTATTATACCTGATGCATGTAATTGTATTATATCCGATTCACCTCCCTGAAGACCTTGAGATACCTTTCTGTAGAAATTCTCGAAATGATATTGAAAATCGTATGCGTGGTTAGATGATACAAGTAAGTATACCAGTGATCGCCCAGCCCAGACCAAAATTAATTGAAACATAATGTAATTAATGAATTTATTATGGTTATCTTTTACGTTCAGCAAGAGTTACAAATACTAATAATATTTACCTAACAAACAATATTACGTAATCTATTCTTATTCTAATTTGCCCACAGACTTTAACCATAAACAAAAGAATATATATGCAAGTGTGTGTCAAATACATGATAGTATCATAGGGATGCCAACCGTACAAGTATATACTATATTTTTGGTATTCGATACGCGGACATTTTCATACTCTTTCAAGTTTGTATGAGGTTTTGACCTACGAAAATAGGTCAAAATATTATGAAGCACCTACGAGCCTAATCTATGAGACGTTATCATATATTTTTTGTGCTAAATGTAGAAAATAGAATCCGTCATGCATTACATATTTTTATTTCTTCGTACTTTAGGTTGGGTGATGTGTGGTGGTGTGACGATTATCCTAACATAACACGGAACCCCAAAATAATCAGTATCCTTGTATTTAAAATCTTAATCTAATATGATAGGCAAATAATTGAAAGATAATACAATTAAAACAGTATCGCTGTACAGTATTAAAGTTACAAACAACTAACAAAATGAAGGTGTATATATTTTATGTATTTTCTTGTATTTTCATTGCGTATTGCAAAGGTAAGTACTCATCATAATTAACCGTAATTCAAGTGTAGTTATAGGTATGAATATTTTTAACAGATGATAATGAGTATACTGGAGAGTAGAGGTTGATTGAAAAAGGAAGACAGGTCAGTTAGCCTGTGATTGTGAATTCACCCGGAATTAGCTATGATGATTCCCAAAGAAGATCGCAGTGGAGAACGACCCGATTTTGTTGACAATATTACTCTACCCTTCTATAGTAACCCACTTAGGCCTACTTAGTTTATTAGAGCATATCAAAATATACTGCTTAAAGTAGGTAGAATAGTAATAGAATGGGTGGGTGGAGTAAAAGAGTAAATAAGAGAAATGGTAGCGTAGAGGGATGGGGAGGGAATTGATAGTAAAGTGGGTAAAATGACATTGTCGTGTCGGGTGGACATCAACGCCCTTTCTTCCCTGATAACTATTCTGGTTTATTCTTTTTGTATTTACCACGATAGGTTAAGTGAAGTAACTTTCATGTTTATCATGCTCCCCTGGTAGCCAGTATATATCGTTGGCGCAAGCGAGTACACCATTCCATATCTATCTGTTTGCGAGCATAGACAAGACACTAACACACACTCACTAACGACTAACTAATCGGTCTAAGTGTTTTCCAGATTTTGCAAAAAAAAAATGTGTGTATTCATATCTTATTGTACACATAACACAAGCTCTGCTTATCTTGGGCCTAGATGGTGCCGTGTCAATTGTCTTGAGACGTTATTAATATTATTATAAAATTTTAAGTAATGCCATAACCTCTTACATAAATTATTTCTCAGGCCAAACCATCGCGAATGGTGTTCCAGTAAATATAACTGAATACCCGTACGCCACTTCACTACAATATTCGCCCTCAGGATTTGTGGTAAATACTTGTGGTGGTATAATATTATCGACCACTGCATTATTATCAGCCGCATCCTGCTTCTATACTAACAATATGTAAGTAGTAATAATAGTAACAAAACAAATTTCTTACTAGTTCTCAACTGAAGTAGCTAGAAGTACTGCACAGTATGGATATTGTTAAAAATTTATCACGTGATGGCTAAAACTGTTTTACATTATTAAACTAGCGACCCTCCCTGGCTTTGCATGGGTACATTACAATTATTAAAAATTTTCAGGATTTCATTCGTAATATGCATGTTTTATTCACATAAATCTTCCTCTTAAACTACTCTGTCTATTGCTGAAAACTGCAGGTTATTTAAAAGACCTCAGCGCATGAAAAGATAAATTAGATTTCTACTTTAGTAAATTTTTTATAATATTGGGAGTTGCCCACTGATGGAAATCATAATAATTTTAAAAGTTGGAAAACCACTCATGTGAGTGAAATTTTTATAAATAATTTGTGCAACCAATTGCTTGTAAATTATAATGGCGAATAAAATGGTTGTACAAAATAGTAGTATACAAAATAGTTGTACAACATATTCATACAAAAAAATTCATGCCATTTTGCCACAACGTTGTCTTACCTAAAAGTTCATTTCTAGGGTATGGCATACGATACTAAGCTTTTCTTTATACGAGTTTTATTGTGCCCTAACAAAAACATTTTTTTACTGACCGGGAACTGATGAAAATGTTTTTTAATACAATCCATTTAATTTCTTTTTTATGGTTTTGATACCAGCCCTTTAAGCTTAGTTACGTTATAAAAGGCATACTTTGAAAGCTATACAATATTACAAAACATAAGATTTTGTTTCTTTTGTTGGTCGTCCTAATCTTAGGAACAGCGAGTTCTACATGAAAACTCTAATAATGTTGGCTATACCGTTTATCGAGGAACAATATATATATATATTATACTAAAAATTATACACGCTATGCCCATGGAGCGAAGCAATAAAGAAAATGTTGCAAAAAAAGTGGAAAATATATACTATATTTCCTTTGAGGAATTTATTTCTTCACGCAGGTGAAGTTGTGTGTTCAGCTTGTTTAGGATATTAGTAGGACATTATTTATGTAATAATATTGTAGTCTATATCTATCTTAACACATATGATTCATTTTCTAAATACCTACTATGTTTATATAACAGAGCGCACGGCCAGAACGAATGGGCAAATTGGCAAGCCCGAGTTGGTTCTTCATTCGCAAGCACCAATGGGGAAATCTACTCAATTCGACTAATCACCCAACATCCAAACTTTACGTTATTGAGTAAAGACAACAACATTGCTGTTTTGAGAACAGCATCCAATATAGTATTAGTACCAGGTCTTGTGGAAGTGGGACGAATAGCTGGCGGAGCGTTCACTATTGAAGCCAGAAGTGAAATTACCGCAATTGGATGGGGTGGAGCAGAAGTAAGCACAAATTATTTTGACGGTGGTGGAATGCTGATGTTTTGGAAATAGATATATTTATAATAAATACAACTTTTATTAAAAATTAAATACTTTGTAAAATACAATTTCGCCTACGTGGGTGCTACTACCTCACCTATTTAGGCAGTTTAAAATATTAACTTCATGGCTCAGAGAATGGAGTACCAATGACATTACAACGTACTAAGGCCAAAAGTCAAGTAAAAGGCCAAAAAATGAGCACTCTTTATTGTTATAAAACTGATTACAGGGAGTAAGTTCCACGTATGAGCTGCATCATGTTTCAGCGTTCGTCATAGATCAAGATGTTTGTGCTCTTCGATATCAGGAGATAGATGTCACAGTCACAAACAACATGATCTGTTTCGGGTGGCTGGATGTAGGTGTGGTTGGCCAGTGTATCCAGGTAAGACTTCTGAATAGATCTTGAAAGCCATCCTCAAATTACGTCGCACTTTAAGGACAAAGTATAACAAGGGGTTGCAGAAATGTCAAACTTCGTATAAAAAATAAAGAAATCTAAGTCTAGGTCTCCTCCATCTTTCTTGAGGGGGACATTTTGGGACAACAAACTTCAATTTTAGTATTAAAATACGAAATGTCAACTATAAAAATGTTACCAAATAGGATAGAGGTGGGGTGGAGCAATAATGAACTTGATGAAGTTTTTCAGTTTAAGTACAATTTTATGTATGTGTATATCATTTGTTCATTAATCAAATAATAGATTGCGTTGTATACCTAGATGCTTTATTTATTATTCTTATTTAATCACTATCAATATATATGTAGCTACACATGTACGAAGACGCAGGTATCACTAGTTAATATTAAGATCCGGCCAGATTCGTACTCACGACCATTGGGGTCTAGGTTATATGATTAATGAACCATTCCGGTTGCATCACATTTTCACGTTTAGTTTTTCCAGTATTTCTCATTACAGCTCCGTACCTATTAGTCATAGTGATGTTATACAGCCTTCCTCCATAATTAGGTTATTCAGCACTAAATTAATTTTCAAAATGGGATCATTAGTTCCGGAGATTACTCCGAACATTTAAGGTTACAAAAACTACCTTTTATAATATAAAAAAAAACAGCAACACGACCATTTCTACAAACATTAGTATTCATGAATATGATGATGTTTGTATTGTTCTGGGTGTTTTCGATGTATATAAATATATTGTTTTTTTAATTATCAAGTACATCAGTGTACCCGTGAAAGTGAATCCGAATTGTATCGCGATATAATTATATATATTAAAAAAAAGTATATCACTTGTCGAGTACTCACAACACAAACTGTTTAACTTGGGACTAGACTAGGCGTCATGTGAATTGTCCTGGGTTGTTATTATTATCATTATTACTATATTGCAGGAAGGAGTCGGTCCAGGAAGTCCATTGGTGTTGAACGGTGGTGTAGTGGGTATTTACTCGACGGCGGAAGGATGCGCGTCGCTACGGTATCCGAGTATCAATACCAGAACTAGCCCATACTGGAGGTGGATCGTTGAAACTGCCAATGCATCTCAGTAGAAAGAAGAGAAAACACGATTAATCGGATCATCAACCGCGATTAAATGTAGATGCCGTTATTCATAGTTAGATTTGATTACATTCAGGTTGATTAAATTGTTCGCTTGATTACACTACATGAACTCAACCCAGAAAGGGACTAATCTGATCGATTCCACATAATATTATTAATATGAAGTAAGTTTAGTTGATATGAACAAAAACTTGTATCTGAGCGAAGACAATTATCTTTAAATTTATAATATATACCAAAATCATTGCTTATTTATCCGGTTTTTCGTTTACCCGAATATCTCACAACAATTTATACGGTTAGTATAAATATTGGTTAGTCTCTACTGCATTATAACGAGGGTACCCCGTTTAGGTCATTTCTGTTATTTATTTATTTATATATGTAATAAGTATTATTTCAATACAAATAAGTTGAATTCAATTCTAAACTATTGCATAGAGTACATGGTTCTGTTACAAAATAAAAAACAATTAAAATAAAACATTTGTTTTTCCTACGAGAATATTGTTATTTTTATTTTCTTTCTTTCTTTCATTGCAGGAGGCTATTCTTTATTTATATCAAATTGTTAACTACGAACTTCTCGTCGTGGTATATTTAACTCAGGCATGTGAGCATGTACGCAATCTCTTATTTTAATTTGGAGAATTACCAATATAGATTCGCATACAAAGAGTTTTAGTGTACAGTTTCGAACTCACGACCTTTCAGTACAAGTCGAGATAATAAACCACACCTGCAATCGAATTTGGACGCACCCACCTACTAGTACTATAATAGTACATATATAAATAAGTGTACCAACATATACAATACTATAACTATACAGTGTCTGTATAATGCGAATAATAAAATACATACAATTGGTACAAGTTTGTACTGTCTTATAATCTTACTAATATTATAAAGGCTCTTTGTTACTTTACGCAAGAAGCAACAACTACTGAATGGATTTTGATGAAACTTTACAGTATAAGCTATATATTAATATTATAAACGCGAAAGTTTATGAGTATAGATGTTTGTTACTCTTTCACTTTCACGCAAAAACTACTGAACGGATTTTGATGAAACTTTACAGTAATATAGCTTATGCTTCAGAACAACATATGAGCTTATATGAGCTATATTTTATATTAATTTAATTTAATGGGGGTACAGCTAGTGAACTATTATTTAAAAAGATATTATGTAAAATGAGCGAAATAATGATAAATGTGCAAACGAAGTTGCGCGGGTTAGCTAGTTGCAAATAAAAATTGCATAGAAGTTTATTCATATCAGCATTTAACTGAAGTCTCTGTTCGATATCAGTTAGCACCAAGACATCCGTAGACATGTACTCACTTGCAGTAACGATACTTGTGTTCCAACTACTATCGAGTTTCAATTGTGTGAATGTGAATCGATATAGAACACCTGACATAATGAGTACGTATTTTATCGATTATGGATACGCGCGAATGATTGTGTTAATCGCATTACGTTGTGATCGAGCATTCTGACCATGTTTGTTGTGTTTTATATGCTTTTATTAACAAAGGACACTCCCACTCCCGTTTGCACTGAATAAGACATTTTCATTGAGTACGTTGTGGATTCACCGTACAGTAATCAATTATACAATGTATAAATTTCTGATAATATTTATTAGGTAACACGCTACTACTACCTTATTAATTTTATGTTCAATATATGTAGTAGACATCCTGTCTGTTACATGCTATGTTTTATTTTATTTTATATTTATTTACCAAAATTGTATCACATGTTTACATTACGATTGATTCCTGCACTAAGCTGGGCCTGTCCTGTCCAATGTAGATGCTTCATTCGTACTTCTAACAATTTGCTGTAGATGAAGTGCTATATTTGGGGTACCTAGTAGAATATATATTATGTTATATGTGCTAGTAGTGAAGGGTATGAATATTCAAAATCAAAGTAGTAACTAAACAAATTCTAAATAAAAATAATGGAAAACAAAACGCAAAAGAAGTTTTCAGGCCAAATTATAACCGCGCGATTTAAAAGTATCCTCACTATGAACTTTTTACCAAAGCTAATAGTTATTAGAGATTCCAAACTCTAAAAACATCACGTCATCCTAGTCTGAAGTACATAATCTTGTCTTGCTCCTTCACAAAAATGCCAACAAATTGTTTGTAGGTATACCCAAGTATTATCATTGGCCTAGATATCATATCATATCATAGATATATATCAAAATAGAGATAAATTAATAAAAAGTATTGGTATTTTTGTTCACATATAAAGTATATTTAATGATAGATAAGATGTTATAATCACAGAGTAGAAGTGTAATAGGTATATATATATATATATATGTAGAGTAAGAATAATATTACCATTGAGGTTGTAAACAAAAAGGTGTATACGTCTGTATTTATATCCATTAATGCCTACGCTAATGGTTTTGAGGCACCATTGGAGGGTAATAATATAGAATAAATAAGATGAGATAAGATCTATGAGAATATCAGTTACATAAAAGATGAAAGATAAAAACAATGTTTAATTGAAAAAAATCTAAATATGACAAATAAAAACCACTTATTGTATTTTTTAAAAACAGACATATAAAAATAAATTGATATAAAGTCTCAACAATAATATTATTGTACATTGTATTTTATCTTATCTGTGGTAGATATGGCGATAACACAGAACTGTTATTGTAATTACACCACAATTCTGTTACTTCGTTACAGCTAAAACTAAAACAGAATTGACACCAATATCAATAACATGTGGGCTGAATGATATTATTGTAATATCTGGGCCGGTGATCAACCGCAAAGGCGTTCGCTACTACTTGTACCGGCCAAACGGTGATATCACAAGACTTAATATCACACGGTTTAAGAATACTCGCAAGAATGGTGTCAACCATAATGACAAAGACAAGAAACCAAACTATGAGAAGTACAATTTTATCGTCGTCAAAAACGTGAAACCTGCACACAGAGCGGTTATTTCTCCACTAATTGACTATAAAGTTTTTAACGTAAATAATATTGGAGAAAATGAGGAATGGATTGATATGTTCTCCAAAATTGAAGAGGAAATGAATTCGAACGATTTTATGATTGGACCATTGGGTGTGAATGATCATGGTAATTGGATGCTGTCTTTGTACTACAAAGATTTGAATGAGGAGTGGTTAGAAATGTTTCAAGTTATAACTATTAAAATAATCGGTAAGTACATCAATTTGCGTAAAAAATCCCATTCATTAATAATATAATAAATGAATTATACTAAAGATACTAAAATAAATACTTGTTTTATTATATTTAAATTAAACTATACGAGTATTACATGTCCAGCAGTGGACGTCTTCCGGGCTGCGATGATGATGATGATGATGATGAGTATTACATGGCAAAAATAGGCCCGAGCTTAACAACAATATGCAGATTTTGCACATAGGTGCTACCCTAGGGTGTAACCGTTTTGTATGAAAAGAATAATCAGGGTAAGAGGGCGGCATATAGTTTGATATATTTGACTGCTGCCCCACCCTGAGCCCATGTCTGGTTACGCCCATGAGAATGCAAGGCATAGAAAATTGTTCAAGAACTTCAAATTTTACTTGATATGATCTATTACTATGAGTATCTAGCGGTTTAGCACACCGCTTACAAAAAAAACTATCTAAGTATTTATTATCAGTTGTGTAGTGCCTATAACACAAGCTCTGCTTACCGTGGAACTAGATGGCGCTGTGTTAATTGTTCAGAGTTGAATTGTTGTTGTTATTTATTACTAGCTGTTCCCGCGACTTGGTCCGCGTGGAATTTAACTTTATTTTTCTAAAATAAAAGTAGCCTAAGTTACTCCTTATTACATCAGCTACCTGCCAAAAAGTCCCGCCGGTCCAGCCATTTCGGAGATTAGCCGGAACAAACAGACCGACAGACAGACAAAAATTATAAAAAATGTGATTTTGGTATATGTACCGTATATATATTAATATGAATATAGTAAAAAATGCTTATTTCAATATTTTATATTATTAAACAGACACTCCAATTTTATTTATATGTATAGATTTAAATTATTTAATTATATTTATCCGAGTATAAGAATCTCATCTGTATGAAATATGACGACAGCTCGAATTCAGAGACTTGAATTAAAAAAAAATTTACATTTCAGAACCCGTGCCTGCTAGTGCACGAAGATCGAAGACACTCAGAGGAGATACCTTTCACTTTGGTTTCTCTTACCCAATCGTGGGTCTGACGGCTTGTGAACTAACGGCTCCACAATCCACCTTCGACAAGTTCTACGAGAGGGACATTAGTAACTGGGACACTTGTGGCTACATTGTTTCGAATTTAACAAGGAACGACGAAGGCATGTGGAGGATAATAGGCGTGGGACGCATTGTGTATGAGACCCAAGTGTATTTACAATATACGTAAGACTGATAACGAGTTTTATTACTACGACGACCTCGGTGGTCTAGCGGTTTAGAACACCGTTAATTCCGGTCTCGGGTTCGATTCCTGGCACGGTGTAAATATTTGTATCCATGAGTATGACGAATGGACAACGTCAGCGACTTCATTTCACACTATGTACTTTAATGCATGTACTTGCATGCTATAATGTTACAGCAAATAGTTGCTCAGTTTTATTCAGCACAAGATAAGAGATTTAGCAATATATGCACGGTAGACGTGTACAAGTATCAAAAATAATCATTACATATATATTGTTGTAATTGTTGTTAGAAAATGATAAACCATTACATCAATATTTCAATTTATTTACAACATTATACTTACATTAATTAATATTTTGAATACAGTCATATTTTTCCTAGCTCACTCATTCTCAAAACAATACTTCAATGTTTCATTAGATCGATATTTTTTATTGGTCTGAGTGTACATGTTACATACGAGTCAGTAAAATCCTAACAGTGTAAACTAGCTGTGCCCTGCGGTTTCTCCCGCATGTAATTTATGGCTTGTGTTATTCTGATGTACAAGTTGTAACTATTCTATCCATTCAGTAAGTTTTAACAAGCGTGAAAGAGTAACGAATTTTCATCCATCCATCTATCCATTCATACTCACAAACATTTATAATATTAATAAGATTATTTTCTCAGTTTTAATACTGTTAGTTGAATAAATATCACTTAATTTTCAACAATGAACCGTGATTACAAACCATTGCTGCAAAACATATTAAATACTTTCTCCAAATATTACTAATATTATAAATGCGGAAGTGTGGATGAATGGATGGATGTATATTTGTTACTCTTTCATACTAAAACTACTACTGAATGGATTTTAATTAGACTTTATAATAATAGCTTATACATCAAAATAACACATAAGCTATAAATATCACGCGGCTGAAATAGTGGGCAGAGCTAATAACACATAAGCCAAACGTAATTTTTAACTTACGCACTGCTAAACTGGCCACTAAATCATCACTTTTAGAGTTTCACTGACGACAGCTAATATTAGCTTCACGTTAGTCACTGCCGCTCCCGCTTCCGCTTCCGCTCTCGCTACCAGTTCCGCTGCGAGCATTCGTAGGCGTGTCGCCTCCGCCTCCCGCTCCACTTCCTTCTGAATCAGAGTCTTTAAGTGCCTTAGCACGGTCAAGCCGCCGCGCTCGCCGCTCCACGTCTGAACCGTCCGATTCTGATGAATATATCGCCGCGCCTGCTGACGCTGTAAAAATATTATCATTATCCACAAAAGAGTAGGACATTTTTTACTATATAGAGACCTGGTAATCTGACATTAAAAGTGACGCAGATGGAGGCAAATCACAATACAAGTTTCAGGGGGAAATGGGATTATTAGTAATGTGGACTAATGAACCCATTACTAGCAATGTACCATGTCAGGTTGACCTCCACGCGGTTCCCCCTGGAAACCATCGTGTTAAATTCCTGGTGAATTTGTCACGATGGGCTAACTGACCTGACCTCATGCTCATATTATCACCCTCCACTGGTGCCCCGCCAGCGTAAACCGTTAGCGCAGGCGGAAGCTCCATTCCATTATCACATACAAAAAAAAAAATATACAAGTTTCAAGGGGTTTAGGGGGTCTGAACCAATATAATAATAATTTAGGACAATTCACACAGCGCCATCTAGTCGATGCAAACTAAGCAGACCTTGTGAAAGAAGAAGTAATAAGACAGAATACTTAAATTTCTTTGTAAATACATAATATACATAGAATACCCACAGACCGATACAAACAATCATGAATATAAATGTTTTTACCGTGCAAGGAATCAAACCACCAATTACACTACCGTTAAATAAAAATAACACGGTACCTTTCTGTCCCTGCTTGTACTTGTTCTTGATGGCCTGCAGTGAGACCCCGCCCTCGTCCTCCGAGTCGTCGTTGGCGCGGGCCCCGCGGGCCCCGGCGGCGCCCCCCGCGCCCCCCGCGCCGCCCGCGCCGCCCGCCGCTCCGCCGCCCGCCCTTCGCTTGGGCCGCGACGAAGGCCTCGATCGCATTGCAGCGCGGAGCTCCATCTCCTCTTTCTACAATTAATACCAATATAATAGTAACAGTTATTTTTTTGTTGAGGAAAATACTCATGAAGACTAGCAGTAGTTTAATAGTAAAAGTAACTACTAACCACATCGGTAGTAACGCTATACGCTCAACCTCCTACCTTATATTATCATCCTCCACTAATGACCCGCCAGCGTAAACCGTTAGCGCAGGCGGGTGCACCATTCCATTGTCATCCATAATAAAAAAAATATCATTTGACAGACGAGACTCAATACGAGTTGTAAAAGTACAAATGATTAAAACTCTTGTTATATTACTAATAAGGACAGACAGATGAGATTTGTACAAACCTTCAATTGATACTTTCTGTCTGCATCCGGGTCGGCACCGACTTGAGACAGAATCTTTATAGCGGAAGTCTTCGTGGAGCGGTCCGCCAGCGACAACGTCATCTTGCGATGCGTGAATGATTCCGTAGAATGAGGCCGGAAGGACAGTTTGGTGCGGAACACGGCCTGACCTTGTAGACCGGTGCCTTGACGGACGAATAAATGATTGTGGTCACCCTGTAAAAGAACAATATTTTATTATTTTCTATTAATAGAAATAGAAATAATCTTTATTCAAATAAACTCAGTACAAGCACTATTGAATAGTCATATTTTTTATCCTACCACTCATTTGGAACGCAGATTCATCACAAGAATCATCAAGAAACTTGTGTATTGCTCTTTTGAATAGATGTTTTTTTTTCTATAAATAATTACACAATAACAAATAAGAGGCTTTCGATAATCAACATAGAAACCGCTATGCACTCATTCTTAGTGAAATCGATTAATATAGTCAGAGTTGTAAATTTTAAGTTTTTCTACAAAAACATTATTATTGTTAATTTTAAAATATGCATTATCACATCGGAATTGTTGTGTATATGTGACATTTAAATATTTTTTCAGGAAGATTTAGAACAGACTCTGGTTTAGAACGACCAATAGACGTTCACTGATCCTTCACTTATTGTCCTCTCAAATTATGACACTTTATATTAGTAATATATTTTTATTACACACTAGCTGTTACCGAAGATATCGTCTGAATGGAATTTAACTTTTTTTTATTAAAATACATAATATTTTTCTAAAATAAAATCGCTACAAATTCGTGCCAATGTCGTTTCAGAAATTAGAAAGAACATACAGACAGACAGTAATATTATTGTTGTTTGTACAGACAAATTAGATATAATACTCACGAGTAGAGGTTGTTTGTACACGTCGAATATTTCAGAGCCGAGATATAACGACATACTGCCGTCCGACCACTTCACCATCCTGGCGTTTGACTCTTTGATAGCGTTTCCCTCCTTGTCGAATGATGTACGCCACCGTATTGTGTTCTCCACTTTCAGTTTTAGTCTGAAAAAGAAAAAATATAAATGTCATGACAATAGTAGGCAGTAAGGAAGTAGGGCAGTAAGGAAAAAATTATGAGAGAAAACTTCCTTTATGAATATATTACTTTTAGAGTAGGTTTTTGAGTATTTTTGAACGGCTTGAAAATCTGTAGTATGTAGGCACTGAATTAGACAATAAATAAAACTAATTGTTTTGTTTTAATTTTTAAATGCATGGGATTCATCTAATTTATACATTTATGATTTAGATTTTACAGATAGTGTAAATTGGCCCGCGAGCCAGCAACGGGTAAATGCTACCAATTTCCTTCTAATTAAATAGTTCTATAATGTTTAAGGTAGTTGTATGATGAAGCCTAGTTAACGTCGGCTGCAGTTCCGCGGGTCCGTTAAGGAACAGGACCTTCACAAGCTTTTCATAGTTTTTTTACTGTAAAGTTATTTTAATACTTATTTAATAAATTAGTTTTTCTCTCTGTAAACATGAAGATCAAGCAACTAAAACGTAACATTTTATGGATATATCTATTTATTTCATCACAAAGAAATTACTACAAATCTCTTAAATATTTCCTGAAATCATTAAAATTGCCTTATAAAAAAACTAACATGTTTTATCGTAATCAGGATTAAAAATATATGTATTCATAAGTGCTTAAATTAATTATTTGAATAAATGATTTTCTATTCTATTCTATAAACAACTCTCTAACTACCAACCTGGCGCGACCTTCCTCGTCTAAGGTTTCTTCTTCATCAATCTCGTCTTCATAAGTATTAGGGTCGTAAGGTCTGGTCTCTACAGACAAGAAGTTGGGTAACTTCACAAAATGCAGCTCTTTGCCCAGCTCTGTCCATATCTTGGGCATGTCAACGTCAATGCGCGTCTCGGGGATTTCCTGTTCCTCTTCCTCTTCCGGTTTCTCTCGGTTTTCCTGAGAAAGGTATACGAATTTATGCCAACACAAATGGGTTTTAAGTCGTAATTCCTTCAAAAATGTCTTTTTGTGTATATTGTAACTAAAAACACTTAATAAATATTTTTTCTTTCTTTTTTCAAAAATCTTATTGACCCATCCAAATCATGGCATGAGCACGTAATTGAAATGGCAAACCAGCTGATATGACACCTGATGGAAAGTTATGAGCGTCGTCTATCCTATAGATATGAACAGCAGTGGGCAGTACAAAATATAATATAATTTCTATTAAATACTAGATATTTACATGCTATATTTTAAAATGCAAGGGTATATATATGGGGTGAAAAGGGATTATATTAATAATAATAATCTCAAGACAATTCACACAGCACTATCTAAAGCTTGTGTTATGGGTACTACATAACTGATACATAGATATATATTTTTCCATAAATACATATTATACATAGAAAACACACAGACCGTTACAAACAATCATACTCATGATTATAAATGTTTGTGCCGTGCGAGGAATCGAACCTGCGACCATCGTAAGGCGGTGTGCTAAACCACTAGGCCACCGAGGTCGTCTTGCCGATTGTTAGTAATGTGGACTAATAACTCCCATTGCTAGCAATGTACCATATCAGGTTGACCTCCATGCGGTTCACCCCGGAAACCATTGCGCTAACTAACTTCATACTCATTTCATTATTATCCACAGATGCCCCGCTAGCGAAAACCGTTAGCGAAAGTCTATGCATCAGTCCATTATCATTACATAATATTTTATATTATGTAATGATAAAAAGAAAGTCGCTTCCGCTGTCTTTTCGTTTAGACCTTTTAAACTACGCAACTAACTTTAGTGCAATTTTCAGCAATAGATAGTGATTCCAGAGGAAGATTTATATTTATAAACACGTACATCCGTGCAAAGCCGGGGCAGTAAGTAAGAGAAAAAAATACAAGATATGGTTTAGTGTAATCCTACTTAAGTTATAAATATCCAAATATGAGAAGATCTTAAGAATTATTAATATTTTTTATTACACTACATGGGATAACAGGATATAAGAAAATTTAATAGGAAGTCCTATCACTATCATGCTTAGAAACTACTTCAAATGTAACATTACCTCATCACCACTGCCTCGTCTAGCCTCGTCACCAGACCTCCGTTCATCATCAGATCTCGCAGCACTACGGCTGCGCGATCGTGACCGCGAGCGGGAACGAGAACGTCCCGACCGCTTTTCACCTTCATCTTCTGTGCTGATGTCCGACGCATCACCGAATAAAGCATCGGCCGTTACTGAGATTACAAGAAAAAAACATTTGATCATTTTCATTCAACAAGAATATCTAGAAACAAACCATTTTTCAACTTTTGTTTCAACACATACAATTCCTTTAAGTCACTCACAGGTTAACTGGAAGAAACCTTTGGAATTGGAATTAGAAAAGATTTGTCCTTTGGTAGTAAAATAGGGGTTACTTGTTACATAGATATTGGAGAAAAATCCGATAATTTAAAAATGTTAAAAGAAGGTAGTTTCATTATTACTCGGTATCGTTAAACTATTGTAGTTGCGTATAACGCCACTTATATTTTCCATGTATAAAAGGAGGGTTTTTGTAAGCCACAGCATTCGGTCTTTGGGCACAGGATGTGCCGGTTGTATTTTATATGCTACAGTGAATTGTGTTAGAGATATAGTTAAATAATGCTATATAGTTGTTATTTTTATATATATTATAATATATATACTTTTACTAGTACATAGTCGATATTTCTTGTATACCCTTTACCTCATTTTTATTATTTTCACATCTCGGCATGATGTCTGTAGTGCTTATCATGTACATATACAGGTGATGGTTACCACTGTATACTATCAGGTGGATCGACAGCTTGTTTGTTTTGCAATTATGTATAATAAGGTGTTATAAAGAAACTAATTTTAACCTCACCTGTATCCTTTTCCTGATTGTCATCATCTGAGTCAATGACTTTTTTACTTTTTTTCTTGGGTTTGTCACTTGTATCAGATCCACTGTCAGAACCCTTTCTGCGTTTTGTAGTTGTTTTTGATTCACCGTCACTGTCGGAATCTGATAATACTCCTCGCTTCTTTTTGTCTCCTAAAAGTTAAAACAAGTTTTTGAGTATATTTTTTAGATGTCTGCAAATGGGACATTGTCTTCTAGAAGTATTAGCCTAGAACTTCCAACCTGCTCACAAGAAATTTAAATGAATATTAGATTTATAAAAATTGATTGACCAAAACAAATTATGAAATAAAAATAGTATTTTAGAAGTACAACAAATTTGACAATTATTACTTACCAATCTCTGGTTCCGAAGCATTAGAGCTCTTTGATCTGGACCTTGACCGACTTTTGGACTTACTACGTGATTTTGACCGGGAATGTCTAGAACCAGATCTGAAATAGGGACATATAACAATATGTCAAAAACTCGAACTCAAACTTGTTTATTCATATAGGACATTATCGGCCGCTTAAGCATGTCAATTTAATTTTATCATTATTCCTGACTCTGACAAGCTTATTGACATGAAACTCAAAACTACATTACATTACATATACAAATTAAATGTATTTTTTTTAATCAGTAACCTTATAAATAACAACTGTGGTACCACAAATTAGGTGGAAATTAGAAATCGGACTGAATGAAATTAATAGAAAAATAAATACCTGGACCGACTCTTTGACTTTTCCTTTGCCTGGTCATCTATCATAAGATTAGGGGAATTAGACCTGCTATCTTCAACATCTTGTCTTGCTTCAGGACTCTTAGACCTTGATGATCCACTACGAGATCGAGATTTTCTACTTTTGGGACTACCGCTAGCGGACGAAGAACGCGAGCGGCTTTTAGCTCTCTGCGATTTAGGGCTTTGCGAACGCGATTTAGGACTCTGGGATCTTGATTTAGGACTCTGTGATCTTGATTTAGGACTCTGTGATCTTGATTTAGGACTCTGTGATCTCGATTTGGGACTCTGAGAGCGAGATTTTGGACTCTGCGATCGGGATTTAGGACTTTGTGATCGAGATTTAGGACTTTGTGAACGGGATTTAGGACTTTGAGATCTCGACTTCGGACTTTCAGGGCCAGATTTCGGACTTGCTGATCGCGATTTCGCACTTCCGGAACGAGAACGTGCACTACCTGATCCTGATCGAGATCTCCTTGATCCGCTTCTAGATCGGGAAGTTCTATCTTTAGGGCTGCCTGTAACATGAGATTTAGGACTGGATGAGCCCGATTTGTGACTCTGAGCTGAACCTGATCTAGATCTATTTGAACGAGCAGGAGAATTCGATTTGCTGCGTGAAGCATTCGAAGCATTTGAGGAACGTCTAGATTTAGCTGAGTTATTGGATTTGGGAGATCCACTTGCAGATCGTGGAGGGCTGCGAGATTGTGATCTGAAAAAAAAATATTTATTTAATCAGAGACAATTCCACTTCATGTATTGTCACAATAAATGTATATCTTTACAAACGATGCTATATAATATATTATAAAATTACTAAAACACGTAAATCCTATGTTGTTGCAGGTTTCCACTGACTACCTTCTATTATGACGAGATATGCGTTTATTTACCACTATTGTTGTGTGAAACATATTTACATATACAGTTCATATGTTGTAATGACAAAATATTTAGAAATTACGAAAATAGTAAAAATTTTCATTAGACTAATTATTATAAGTAGTTATATTAGAAAGTCATAATATGTATACTGTACTATAAACAATAGATCTTTTATTTTATATTCTGCTTACCGTGACTGACTGCCCTCTTTGCCTGAAGGTGCAGGACTAGCACTTTTACTTCGGCTACCACTTGATCCACTGTCTGAGTCTGATCCAGAATCCGTGTCTGCATAATAAATATTCCAAAAATTATTGATTGAAATTAATTTTCATGTAAGAATTTTATGAACATCAAACAAAACAAATCTTTAAGTTTGTATTAAAGTTGTGTGTAAGTTGGTATGTATTGAGATATGTTAAAAATAACTATACACCGTGTAAGTTTGAAGTATATATAATATTGGTTAAAAAGGATTCATTTTATTTTTATGCTTCCATATCAATATCTGATACTATTCTGTTCTTACTTAATTAATAGAAGGAAATGGACTTCTGCATAATAACACCCAATTCTATAAAATATCTACAATTATTTTCATTAACTGACATAAAAAAAGGTATTATCAATTTCAGCATATTATTCTATCTTTGCTGATTTTAGGCTGAACTTCTATCTTTTCTTCTTTTCAATTTTATTACTAAAAATAGTTAATTACTACCACCAACAATACATTTTAATTAGTATAGTATTTTATTACTTACTTTCAAATGAAGATAATAGTTTTAAAGAAAAGAACAAAACATTAGATAATTAAATATTTGTTGTTATCATGACTAATGCAGTCAGTCTGCTAAATAATACACTAAATCTAAATCTAAATTAATTACCAAATCCAAAATCGAAATAATTAGCAATACTTTAGAAATCAATTCTATAGCAGTTTCTCCACAGCATCATACAAAGTCTAAAAGTTACAAAACTAAATATTAAAGTTTTACATTATATCAAAGTTACGGAATAAAACAAAAATAAAATTGAAATCAGTATATTTTTTTTATTACAATATGTTATATTCTGTTATAATATAAACTTTGATATAAATTGACAGAAAAATATATGAATTCAACATAAATTAATTTCAAACATTGCTATTAATAAACAAATCTTCATATACTTTTAGGTTATTCCATACTCTTGAAACTTCTTACAGGACATAACACAGAAAAACATAAATTTAGTCATTATTATTGATAGTTCTGTGTGTTCACAGACATCATGCTATAATAAACCTACAAAAATGATTTATAAAAAAGTATTATTTTATAAACCACAACATATGTAATACAGATCACCTTTAACTTATCTTCTACAGATATTAAATAACAGCAAAAAGGTTTGAATAGCACTGAGTATGACCTACTTTGCACATGTGCATTAGCTTATGAGAAAGACTTCTTAATCTATATATATTATTCTTAATATATATATTTTCTTTATCTATTGTGTTTTCAAAAAGGTTATATAAAGGTTTCTTAAGGGCCGGAAATGGTCATGTAACACCCCTGGTGTCTCAGGCATCTATAGGCTACAGTAACCATTTACCATCAGATGGGTTTACTACTTACTATAAACTAACTTTTAAGTGTGTGAACAAATATTGAAATATCCAGGCCAATTGGAGAATCAACTCCTTAGAATTACACCAATAAATTATTTAAAAAAGAAATACTAAAGCTACCTCGTAAATTTACAATCACAGATAACTAATCAAATGTATTAGTCGCTTATACATAATACATTCTATAAGATTTTCGTAAACAATATAAAATAACGATCTTAAATATATACATATAAAGTATAACTTATGATTGAATAGGCACAGCTTTTGCATATAATTCATTCAATCATAATTTAAGACCTATGCTCTTGTCAGTGGAGCTCTTGCCACTTTCCGTGATATTCTATTAGTCTCTTTAAATGTTAATACGACTCCCATTCTGTCTTTAATTTGCTTGATGTAGCTGTGCCTTGGTCTTCCCCTATCTTTTCTTCTATTTTTCCCTCAATAATTTTCATAAAATAATTGTGCCATATCAAGTATCCTAACATTTTTCCTCATTTATTTTCTATTGTTTTCAATATCCGCCTTTTTCTTTTACCCTGTGTAGTACTTAGTTACAAATAATTGATTATACAAAATTGATATTAATACAAATTTTATTGTACTGGTTACATAATATAAAAATCCTGTGCTTAAGTTATTTACAAGCACCTACATATTCATTAATCAGTCCTTAGTGTTTTTTTTTCATAATTTGTCCACCTAATGGTACCAAGACTATTAATATGAGGATTGTTATTTCTATACATAGCAATAATAAACAAGAGAGTAAATAACAAGCTGACTGCGAACAGGTATAAATAGTGGAGAAAAACATATTACGCCGACCTCAAATATATGGGACAAGGAAGAAGAGTCAACCCAACTCAGCACACACATAAATCCATATTAAAATAAACCAATTACTATTGCTACCATTATATATTTAAATCTTTATAACTAGTATTTTATCTATAAAGATTGTAAGATAATATTATCATAACAAAATATAATAATCGCAAACTATTGTATATTTTATTGATTATTATAGGCCTCCAATGAAAGTTCAATTGTAGATGGATACTACTAATGCAATTGAATGCTTATTAAAACAATATATGACAAGATTGAATTATAAATTTATTGACAGTAAAACCATTATTAATTTATGCAATTATAATTAGTTTTTAATGTATATTTCATAAAAAATATACATAAGAAACATTCAAGTAAGGTTATATTGGTTACTTACCGTCTAAAGAGTCCTTTCTAGTAGGCGCCATTGCACATATAGGCTATTCAATGAATTGTACAAAATAGTATTTTATGTATTATTAAATCATTTACAATTACAAAGTTATATCTAAATTTGTATCAAGAAATTACAAAAAAATAAACAAGCGTTGTCAATTCGACAATACGTTAAACAACATTGATGTTAGGAATGACATCTCAGCGTCAACAGTCAATCTCATATGTCAAATTTATGAAATCCAAGTAGTCATGTAAGGGCTGTATGGGCTTAGACTCTTTGCCTTTCCATTAAAGATAAATAAAACAAAATAAAAAAAAGTAGTCATGTAAATTTTTTAAATTTTGGAAATCAGGCATTGTGCTTTACGCATGGCACTCTTCATTTAATATTTTCTTATCTATAATTGGATACCAGCTCGTATTCTCAATGGAAGTATCAATGTAGAATGATTCCGTATAAGGCGGTCAAACACAAGTCCTCTTCTATTCTTATTACATTCCTACCAAGCATTGAAAATTGCATTATGGTTGGCAACCTGCTTGTTACTGCTCCTAGCAGCCTCTTTTAAGGAAAATTGGAAATTTTTTAAAATAATTACATTACACAGTCAATCGCAAATCCTAATCTCGTGTTATGCATAAGGTGCGCCAATTGGAGCACATAAATCGTTTCGTTAAAAAAGAGGACAGGATTAGTCTTACATTTAAAATTCCTATATTTATGCAATATTATCAATACTCGATATATTTAGGTATATACTCAAGAGATCACTGCTGTAACGTTAAATCCAGTCATACACCACTTTGCGAAGGTCAGCAATAACAACATAAACTATTCTGTCACCACACAAGCCAACCTGGCTAGAACAAGTCCCCTTATTGATTAGGGTTTTGATAGTAAAAAATATAGCATTAACGGAACCCTTATATATGTCTAATCAAAATAATAACACTGGCAGACAGGACAATATTTATTTGTAACTAGATGTCCCCGCGACTTCGTTTGCGTGGACAATTTAACTTTATTTTTCTAAAATAAACTATTTTTTTTCAAATAAAAGTATCCTAAGTTAATCCTTATTACATCAGCTACCTGCCAATAAAAGTCCCGTCAAAATCGGTTCAGCCATTTCAGAAATTAGCGGGACCAAACAAACAGACAGACAAAAATTGTAAAAAATATTATTTTGGTCTATGTACCGTATTTATATTCATATACATGTAGTAAAAAACGGTTATTTCAATATTACAAACAGATACTCTAATTTTATTTACATGTACAGAAGTATAGATTGTATCTTATGCGTAATATCCACCCAAAGGGTATAAAATGAATCGATGAATAAAATATAGGTTTGAATGGAATTGAACCTAAAGTCAATGACAGAAAGCAGATGATTGAATAAGTAATAATGATTCAACTTATACAAATTGAAAATTTTATATTATTATTTCAATATAAGACAATTAGATAACATGACGTTACATTTTATGAAAACGTTTCATAAGATGTATTCATGCAGATAGTCAATTATTGAACTTTATTATGGTTAGACCTTATACCTAATATGTATTTATCTACAACTGTCCAAAAGCGCTGTATACCAACACGTATATCACCACATTTCAAGGACATGTCATGTACTTCCTTTGTAGTTTTGTACCTTGTTTAAAGTACGTGCCTCCAGGCCCGCCACTGGCAGCTTGCATCTGTTGAATTCTGTTGAATGGGCTCCATTCAACGGAGTTTTTTCTTTTGCGCTACTCTGGCCGGCCTCTGTGCCTCAGTCGAACGATGGCTGCGGTGACTGATGTTTGTGCCGGTCTTATTAGACACAAAACTGTTTTACTACGAGAAATATCCGACACAAACGTATTAGATGTTTTAGTAAAAAAAGGAATTTTCAGTGTAGGTGATCTTGAGTTGATAACAAGTGCGCCGGATGGTGAAAAGTGCAACTACTTCATTGAAGTTGTTAGTAAACAAAGTGGTGTAAAGTTGGTTGAGTTGTGTTGTGCGTTAGAGAAGGAGTGTCCCAAACTGTCCAAGGAGCTGAAGAATGATAAACACAGATTTATAGTCAATGGTGAGTACCTACCAGTGGTAACCTGTAATATTAAACGCACACATAATATATTCATGTTCTGTTTGTTTTCATGTTTTGGGGATCTGTTTTTATATTAAAAAGCTTTGATAAGAACTCACAGATCTTGGTTTTAATTTAATAAATTAGGTAGACTACCGAATTAATGCATGTATCATGTCATTATAAATTAATAACAAAATAAACGCGCAATAAATCTATTGTATATAGGTACCTATAAGTTAGAAGAAGAAGTATATGCAAGATGTATTGCTCGAGGAAAATAGTTTTAGCTTGTTTGTTTTTATTTAATGAACTAGGTACAGAAAAAATATGTATTAGAAATGGATTTTTTTATATATTTATTATTGAGAATGTCATAGCCGTACTGGTTTACTATTCCGACACCTAAAGGTCATTATTTGGTCATGGTTTTTATCTTGCCGACATGACGCTCAAAATTTTTGACTTATGCATCAATGATGGAAACACTAATAACAGACAAAATGAGAAGTGGTGGTCGGTTGGCCCCTACCACGATGGGTACAAATATACCGAGCGAAATATTTGCATAGCAAATGTTAGGTCCAACACAACGTCGACAGTTGCTAATATCTTTTAACTCCGCAATCTGGGATAACAGTCATGAAGAAATATTATTTATTTTGATATTTACATATATTTATTAGTACGTATACTTTTTATTAGGAATGATAAGAATACAATACACGCAATAATGACCTTTGATTCAATAATTAATTATTACTACTTACCTAATGAACCGATAAATAATTATGAGAAAGTTATATGTGTACATATTTAGTTACTGTTTGTTGACCATTTAAATTAAGAATTAAGACCATGCGTTGATTTGTTGCAACGGAAATTTTCAAATTGCGAGGGAACCCGACACATCTACAATGGGACTTTGATTGAAAAATTGCATGACCGTTGCCCAAAAGAAGGGGAGACTTTGCTAGCAGACGTTACTCTAAATACGTCTCAGGAAAAAAGTTACCTATCTGCAATATCAAAATAAAATCCTATTGTTTGTCTGATAAGGGTGAAAGTTCAATGGCATATGATGAAACAAATGCACAGGCAAAGCAACGGGAAGGCGGAAGGTAGTAAAATAAATAAATCTATGCGGGTGCGTTCGGAAATTGACCCCACCTCGTCTGTCATGAGATTCAATGGCTACCTATTGTGTTTCTAGTTATTCCGGTTTATGAGTCAGACGTTACCTACTTACCCACATTCATGTAAGTAGGTATTAATTATTTTAAAGCTTATGACAATTGGAATTAGATCAATTATGGTTTAGTCACATTATAGTTTTGCGTTGTCGTAATAAAATCATTAACCGCCATCAATAAGGGGTGATATTGTACAGTTTTGTTATGCTTCGACCAACTCAAAGTCTAATCACTCCACTCCATCCTAAGGTTGCTTGGAAGAAATCTCTATTTAGCGATAAGCGATAGCCATTGTTTGTTATAATTGTTTTTATAACGATATACCTACATATTAATTTATGCAATTGTTTTTTTCTGTGAGAGGGAATTTTCATTTCATTTCAATGTCGAAGATGGACTGCCTCTGATAGACGGTCTTGATAGACCTCATAATTTTTTCTCCTCTAATACTGTAGGAGAAAAAATTACGAGGTACGCACTACTGTCTACATACAGAATATATTGTAAGCGGTTATCACATAGTTCACATACTATATCTTTTTATATCTGTGTATCTGAATTAGCGTTTCTTATAATATAAGAATAGGCGTTCCACAAAAATGACTACAGGAAACAAAGATAATAAAATCTGCACAGCCGAAATCGGCGAAAACAATTTTATTCTTATTTTATCATCACGTGACACTAACAAAAAGGTTATCAGGTTTTTTTATGTATGATAATGGAATGGAACACCCGCCTGCGCTAACGGTTTATGCTGGCGGGGCACAAGTGGAGGATGATAAAATGAGCATGAGGTTAGGTCAGTTAGCTCATCGTGACAAATTCCCCAGGAATTTATCACAATGATTCTTAGGGGTAACCGCTTAGAGGTCTACCTAACATGGTACATTGATAGCAATGCAGTTATTAATCCACATTACTATCAGGAGTATTGTTTAAAACTCACCAGACGAAACAATACCTACATCAAACTAATCACATCATGTACCAAAGACGCAAAGTAGGTACCTATTGAGTACAATGAACTCAACGTGACAATTACCTTTTGTTATTAAAGCGCTCTACAGACATTCCAAGGATCTTGTGTTCTTGGTATGGTTCTTACCTATAGTAAAATATGTACATGTAATAATAATTACCCAGGACTATTACACGTACATATAATACTATAACAGCGTCAGACGAACAGATAGCCAGACGTACAAAAAAAAAATATTTTTTTGATGAAAGTACATGTACTTACACATGCAGTTAGTTAAAAGCTGTTTAAAATGAAATTAAAAAAATAACTGAACAATTAAGCGCGCCATCTAGTCTCACGGTGGTGGTACTACTACTGTGGTACCATAACACAAGCACAGCCTGTGCTTGTGTTATGGGTTAGTACACAAAACTGATACAAACAGATAGAAACTTTTTATTTGTAAATACATAAATATTATATGTACATAGAAAACACCCAGACCGCTACAAACAATCATACTTATGAATACGAATGTTTCCAGCGTGCGAGGAATCGAACCCGCGACCATAGGATATAAGGCGGTGTGTTAAAACGCTAGATCATAGAGGCCGAAATTACAAACACAGATATACATGAATTCTATTATTTGTATAGATAATACCACAGACAATATTTGGCTGAAGCTCGCGTTCTTCACCGTAGCTTTGTTGTGACTAATCGTATAAAATACAATCGAATTAAGTCCCTCTTCCTTTTCAAAGTGTATTGAAAATTGAATTAGCGTTGTCTTACTGTTTACAAAAGGTCGTTGCAGCTGCAGATGTTACATTACCACGTGTTTGTGGCGCCAAAGTTATATTTACAAGGGAGTCTCAATTACTCAGACAGACTGAAAATACAAACGGTTATTTTTGGTGTACAATGGAGTTTATTTATACGAGCCGTGTCGTCCATTGTACGGCTAAAAGTCAGATATTTTAGCAACACCGTAAATGGATTTAGATTAATTTAGAAAAAATAGAGTACCTATAGCGCGGTGGTTAACACCTCACCAGTGTAGTGATGAGGTGTCGCCACGTAATTTATTGTTTTTATTGTAGTATGTATGGCAGTGAGTATACAGTTGAAGTAATTGTACATTGGTAAGTTTATTTGTTAGTGTACTACATGTAGTTAGTAAAGAGTACATTCGACGCGGAGTCGTAACGTAGATTGACTTTACACTGAACTTACATCTATGTTATCTGGAGAGGTACTAATGGAAGGGTCTCGAGTATTGACAGAGATTTTACTAGTGTAAGCACAAGAGTAAGAATAACGGATTAGTGGACTGTGTGCTAATACTCGACTTTCGTTGGTATATATGTATAAGCACAGATAACATAATATTTAATCTTGAATATGTTCAATCATAATATTATAATATTACATGAAAAATAATATAAAATTAAAGTTTGGTAAAGAGTAAATCGTATTGTATGTAATATAGTTCGCGATAATATTCAACGTTATTATCCTAACACTTATTCCTATCCTTTGCATTTGACAAAAGAATAATAATAGAGAGTAATATAAATAGAAATATCATAACTATTTCATAATTTTATAAATAAAAATTATATCTTTAGTAAAGTATATCGTTTAATACTATAATACTGCATTAACTTAAATATGACGAAATTTGGAAAGCTAAAATTATAAAAATTAAAGTCAAATTCCCAAAACTTTTAATTCTGGAATCTAAGCGAATTGTTAAATAACAGTAGTTTTATATGATATACATTTCAACTTACTTGATGACTTGCATTTTTTAATATACATTATTGCATAACATAAAAATAAGAATGTATTAATTTTATGCAGTCTGCTCGTGCCATGATCGCGTCCTGCCATTTATAGCACGCATGTGCCTTGGATCACCTGCCGAAGTTTAAAAATGTAAATATGGCCATATTTGCGTACATCTGTCGCGTCTTTAAGTTTTATCTTTTTTTACTTATTATGTTTTACGGCTCTGGATATAAGTCCTTGTGAGTACAACCTTATCAAATATGTTTCACAATAAGTAAGTCAAAATAGAAGAAGCTGTCCGATAATTGCCATATTCGCAAAAACTAAAACGTTATACAAACTCGCTTCAATTAGCAGAAACAACTGTCAGTCTTCATTAAATTAAGAAAATATCATGAATAAAAAAGACAAACAACAAACAGTTTCGAAGCTGAAATAGGTTAATTAGACGTTTGACATTTTTGTAAAAAAAACTTAAACCGGCTAGACTTTTGTATTGAACTCACACATGTAGGAAAAGACATTTCGGCCAATATTTTGATAAGTTCTTATTACTCATTACGAACTAGTTGTGCTGTTACATCTTTCACATATATTTTTTAATGGATGATAATAATAGCCCGAAATCATTCACACAGCGCCATCTAGTCCCAAAGTCAACAGAGTAATTATAGGTACAAACTGTAACTAACAGAGACGTATTCAAACTATTTGTTTTAAATACATACGACATATATTTACATTAAAAACACTCTGACCAATACAATCATTCATGTAGACAAAATGTTTTTATCTTGAGAGGAATCGAACCCACCACTATCGAAGTATCGATATCCATAGACCACTGTAGACGTCAATGATATGATGATTGAATGGTTCTCTCACTTATGAAAACGTTGTATGCTGAAGGCGTACCATATGAGCAGGTCAGTTATCAGAATTCACAAGGAATCACTCAGTGGTTTCAAAAAGGGATCGCATGTAGATCGAGCTGACAAGAGTACCTACATGTCTAGCATTATTTTATACAGTTTATAAATATTCACAGA